GTAAACAAAAAATGTAAATTGAGAAGCTAAAAATGACTCAGTTAAATTATTTGATAGTGGTCATACAATATCCTGTTAAATGGTTATTATGTTGTAGTAAGAAATTCCATCAGAAATTCACCATGAGTAACATTCGCACAAAGCGTTACCTTTTGGTACTTATTCGCCATCAGCGATGTCAATAATGATCAGCAATGTCAACATATCATCAATAAACATTGTATGATATACGCTCTTTCTCTGAAATCTTCCCAGTGATCATTAATCAAAACCGATCATCACATAACTAATTTATCCTATGAAAAGTGAGGTTTTACAAGTGAAGTTTTCAGGACACCCTGCATATCCAGGTTTTGTTTATTAAGCATTCTCATTCTCATTATTTTCAAGAAATCCATCATCATTTTGGTTAAGAAAATTTATACGGTCTGCTGGATCTATTTTGATACGCAGCGGGAAATATACATTGGAATATATATGTTTACTTGGATGTGTTACAGGTATATATTACGGGATCTGTTTGAAGGTTTAAAAAAGGGAAGGAGCATCCACTTAATCAAAAATTCGAGAAAATAGATGTGGGAATCTTTGAGAGAACAGGAAAATCTACCCACGGCCAAGAAAACAAAACTGGACATGAATATTCTAAAATTTTTCCACGATTGAACAATGTGAACCAGATGACCAAGATTGGTATGGGATAAACATATTATCCTATAGTCAGTTCAGGATATTGGGATTATCCTTGGCCAATATAATATATTTTCCCTCTGGAGCTAGCTGCGGCCCTCGGACAGATATATTATATTTACCTCGGGATAATCCCAATATCCTGAACCTCATATAGGATAATCTCTATTATGTCACGCTCCTCCAAGATATCAATTCTTTATCCCATACTTGGACGTGTTACGGGTACATAAAGCCGGTTTGTAAAAACTTATATTTTCATCAGCGGGCAGATATAGCTTTACGTCCCGCTCCGAGCGGTCAGATATAGTATATCTGCCCGCTACGTCATTATCGCTGTTCCCGTATTGGTTCTTTTTTGTAACGTTCGCATACTGTAAACCACAATGGAGAAAAACGCAGACAATTGCGATCTGTTTGATGCGTTAAAGAAGGGAAGTAGCAGTATACTCCATTTATAATCAAAGATTTGAACATTTTAAAATAATTCTACGGTTGGTTGCGAAGTTTCTGAACTTTGGCCAATTGAACAATGTGATTGGTATGGGATAAACAAATCATCCTATAGTCGGTTCAGGATATTTGGATTATCCCTTGGCCAATATAATATATCTGCCAGAGGGCCGTAATATCCTGAACCTAGAAGCTAGAAGCTTCAAACAAAATGCATTTTAAAGCTCTTTTATTGGTCATCGTCCCTACCTCCTGGCTACGCCTATGATAGGTATATAGGTCAAAAATGGTAAGCGGCAATGGTCATAGTATGTCTAAAAATATAAGTGATTCCAATGTAGAAATTCTATACTTCATATTTCATTACAGAAATTTTAACTTTACTCCAGACTTGACAGAACTTTAACTTTTAAGAACTCTTTAAAATTGTCTTTGAATTATCCATTGAATCAGCCTGAAATCTATCTTCTAGAGGAAAACAGTTAATCCAGTCAAGACTACAGTAATGTCTTATCTTGATACTGATTTTAAATAGAGAGTCAATTTCAGAGGCTTTCAGTCTAATGTATTTCAATGTATTATGAATTCTCTACCTTTTCAATATATTGAAGCAAAATTAGAAAAAAGTAAAACAAAAACCCCCAAAAATAGATAAAAATCAAGATAAACATTTTATTTCATCAACACTTTTTTAAAATCAACCAAAATTTCCTTTGTACAGAGATGACCATTAAATTGACAATATGTAATTTTTAGAATTTTTTGATGACTGATTTAAGAGAAAAGTGTGTTCAAAAAGTTCACCATATCAATACCAATCCTTTACAGGTTCTCCTAAATATCCAGGATGTTAACTCTTCAGTCTAAATGGAAAGGTTAAACATGTGACTAGGATAACAAAAAGGTCAATCTTTCTAATTTTCACATATTTTGTTATATATCAGATAGACATAGAAGTTCTACCTAAATAAAATCTGGCTGTTCTTGGATTTTAAAGTGTTATGTAAAGATGATAACTTAATGACTATTAGATGACTCTTCCACCTACACCAGTCCAGTCTATACCATTAAACATGTAATAAGAGAAGTTAATATACAGGGTGGTCCAAAAAAGTGAACCCCTGCAACAGGCTATATTTTCCTTAATACTTGCATGAATAGACTCATATTATCACATGTTCGAGAAAAAGGTCTAAAATTCTGGTTGATGCCATCATTTATTCGCTGTCTTAAATTTTGAAGAAATCACATCTAAATGCGGTTTTATATAGGATTCTTCTCAGTGTATATTGCTATCAACTCATAAAAGAGAATGGATCAAGATGAATCTTGAATGATTAAAATTTACTTTAAAATAGTTTACGTACTTTAACATAGAGATCTCGAAATGGGAACTGGGGACCAGCTTAGAAGATACATACAAATACATATATACACAAACATAGATATCTCAAACTGGGAACTGGGGACTGGGGACCTTCTTAAAAGATACATACAGATACATACATATATATATAGCATATAGATATCTCAAACTGGGAACTGGGGACTGGGGACCAGCTTAGAAGATACATACAAATACATGCATATTATATATAACAATATAGATATCTCAAACAGGGAATTGGGGACTGGGGACCTTCTTAAAAGATACATACAAATACATACATATTATATATAGCAATATCTCAAACTAGGAACTGGGGACTGGGGACCAGCTTAGAAGATACATACAAATACATACATACATATTATATATAGCATATAGATATCTCAAACTGGGAACTGGGGACTGGGGACCTTCTTAAAAGATACATACAAATACATACATATTATATATAACAATATATAGATATCTCAAACTGGGAACTGGGGACTGGGGACCAGCTTAGAAGATATATACAAATACATACATATATAACATGTATACAATACACACATATCTCATAAATTAAAGCATATTCATAGATATCTCAATGTAGGATATTCATGAATTATTGTTATTTAATTAACATATTCTCCGCCAACTAATAAATTAATTGTTATGTATCTACTGTAGTTCTATATATGTATCTAGTCTATCTAATTAACATATCCCATGCTTGTATATATATTATACATATATATAAATACATATAATAATGTATGTATCTATCTAATTTGCATATTCTGTGCTGGCATATATAGATATATGCATCTGTATACATATGCATATATGTATCTATCTAATTTGCATATTCTGTGCTGGTTTACATGGCCCATAAGCCGTTTTTTTTTTAAAATGTATGGATAAACTATCAATTTCAGCATTAAGAAGGGTAAATTTAGTTCAAAGCCTCAAAAAGAGGAAATCCACTTTATATTTTTAAGATCCACCATGTTTCAAGAGGAATATCAGCTGCAATAATGTTTATCTAGGGAATTTCTTTGTAGATAATGAAAATAGATGTAAGTCTTAATGAAATATCCAAACTTAAATACATTTTGATTTTTGACAGTGGTCCATGATCGTTGAACAGAAACTCTGTACTAATTGTTGCACCTTTAATTGGCAGAACGAAGAGATTTTTGTTTTACACGGGGAATATTTCAGCATTTTTCAAGATGTCAGAAGGGGAATCCCCTTTTACTAGATTGAGGAATATTGGGATAAAAAACGAAAATTTTTTCTTTCTGCCGATTAACCTATACAATTGTAGATTTAACTGCGTGAAAAGAATTCTAATACTCAGTTATTTAGTTAAATGTAGTCAAATCACTAATCGTAAGGGTTAATCGGCAGAACGAGGAAATTTTAGTTTTTAATAGCAAAATTTCTCCATCTAGACTAGAGGTTTGACCTGAGGATTCCCCTTATGACATCTTGAAAAGCGCTGAAATATTTCCCAATGTAAAATGAAAATCTTATTCTCCCATGTTGAAGAAACACTGCCTGAACAATCTTTGGCGCACAGGACTATAAGTCCTGGGATTTGATAAATTTTACTATATTGACTAGGGCCATAGTGTCGAATAATGAGTTTGTAATACTTTGTTTTCAATAGGTGTTGATAATACAAATAACCTCATTTCAGTGGGCATCTTGGCCAAATTTTTTTTTAATTGGTATGATCATCTTGTGTATTCCATGAATCTTCCTGTTGCATTGACGATATGCTTGACAATAAGCTAACTATCAATATGATGGAGTTGTACAAAACACTTAATAATATTGAGCTTCTTCAGTCACCATGCTCTTCTTCAGTGGTTCCCATAACAATCAAGAAATACAAGAGAGGTGTGTATTATGTAATAGAAATCTATCCTTCAAATTTCCTTGAGGTTAATATGTTCAAAGTGAGAATCATTAGGCCTATATATTTTTGTGACCCATTACTTAATTAACTCTTTGAAAAGTCAAACCTACACCCTTTATTTAAATAATAATGTTTTTTATTAATTTCTTGAGGTTTTTCTTTGTCTCAAGAGTTCTAACTTTGATTGATGACTCGATCTATTAATCGAGCAGCTAATTTAAAATGCTCATGGTTTTGTTCACTTGTAAGCAAGACTAGAAGCCATTGGAATTAAAGGGTGGATGGCTAAATGAAAACTGTCACAAAAATGGAAAAGAAATGTGGCAAGACATCGGCTTAATACTCCCATGGACAAAATAACTCTATATCTCCATAATCATTTAAATTGAGTAAATTGGGAAAATGTAGTCAGTTGTTAATAGAGAAATTGTACTTATATACATGTACTATGCTTGTTTGTACAGTTTCATATGAATAAATACTCAGCGAAGTGTCCAAATCATATTGTTTAAATTGAGGTTTAACAGCAAAAATGAATGTTACTTATTCTTTTTATTGCAGAAACAGCATACCATGTTGATGGCATAGACAACACATACATTATAGAAATAGAATCTAAGAACCATCGGCAACGTCGCCAGGTTGCCTCATCAACTTCAGCACCTGTAGTAACAACCAATAAGACAAATGCTGGTTTACCTGAAGTTACAAGTGCAGATGGCCCTGTTGAAAGTACTCAAACGCCAACTGTTGGGATTGCTACTCAACCCACGAAGCCCCCAACTCAACCCTCAACACAATCTCCAACTCCTACATCCTCAACACAGAGGTCTACAAGACCACCATTCACTGAACCGACTTGGACTGGACCAACTTTACCCGCAGATACTAAAATTGTGGAGGTAATATAACTTTTATTTGGAGCCTACCACAAGAAGGCTATTAATTTTTGTCAAATTATTTCATTTAGGTCAATGCCACAGGCTAAAATCTAGGTCAAATTGTTTTTTGAAGTTTCTTAAAGATTGACCTTATTCTTCAATATTTTTTGCAATGAATTCAATTGTAAAATAACTATAAGCATTTCCATATTCCCCTCAATCATGTCTCAATATAAGTCCAACAGTTTTTGAGTTCATAAAAGGTAATAAACAGCTATTTTTCACATTGTATCGTCTTTGCTTAATTTACTTTAAATTACTTTCTAGGATTACAGATCTGACCTATATTTTAAGATTTAACCCTTGTTGACTTTCAGTGATCATTGAAACTTGAGGTATTTTCAACTACATTTTTTATTTTAAATTCAATATCTCTTTTACATAATCATATTCAAGCTGACCTCAAATGACCTCTTGTCCTCAACAAACTTAAGTCGTAGTTATTTCGTCTTTGTGAATAAAATAACATTGTTTCAGAGAGTTGGCATTTATGTTTACTTTTAGAAACCAGATTTGAGTGAAGTGTATTATTAAATACCAATGAAATACCAATATATAATCGCTTCAAATAATAGGATATCAGAAGTGAAAACAAAGTTTAGTCACATGGTGAGCGCATTGAGGGCCACAGGTTAAGATGTTTTTTTGCCTCTCATCTTTCAATAAAAATGTGTTATATTATTTATGTAATCACTAGTTGTGTACATATGAAGATCCAGTATTGTATTGTATTGCATATAGGAATATAATAGAACTATATGGCCTATATAGAAATACTACCAGATATTGATATACAGAACATTGTCTATTGATTGCAATTCCCTATTGCATTCCCTTGATGAGCCATTGTGCCCATGCAGGTCTTATAATGAATATATTATATTGCCCTTGATAAAAACACAGACTTCCATGTCTCGTTATATTGAATATGACTTTGATTCACCTCCAGTTTAAGTTCTCTATACTGGAAAACAACTTTACATTGAAACAACTCTACAGTGAAACCACTCTACAGTAAATCCTCTTTATAGCAAAACCTTTATTATAGCAACTTCTCTACCTCTCATATTTTTAAATATCCCATTGACTTCCTTATTATTGTTATCAGTAAATTATGATTTAATATGAATAGAATCATATTTAGCCATTGATATTTTCATAAAGCACAGAGATAAATACATGTGTAGGTGTACATGTAGTTATTTTTTTATTGTTCACGACAAAAGGTGAAATAGGAAAACCGGCAAGCATAATTCTGTTTGTATACAAGCACTCATGTACAATTTCCTAGGTATCTTTGAATATCCTTGTATATAAGCATACTTGCATACCTAGGTATCTTTTCATGTGGAGATATCCTTTCATATTTAGGCATCACTGTGTAGTGTGTATCCATGTATTATTGTGTTTCCAGGGCAACCATTCTTACTATTCATCCAGTATAATATCTGAAGACAACTCTGGAGCAAGGTACTGGGTAGACATCGACAATATGCCAGGAGGTTCTAAGATCAAACATGACACACTATCTGAATCTCATAGAGTCGCTTCAGTAAGTAAAATTGCATGCCACTTTCTCTTTATGAAACGTACATTGAAAAGTGAATTCCCAGCGTTAGAGTAGCGAAATACTGGAACCTGTTAGAAATCTGGATATTGTAAGCTGTTCTTGTTATCCCAACCGAATAAAGTTCAGAAGGGATAGAGAGAAGTCATTTGTTCATTTTTCTGTTCATTTGTCTATCTGCCTAATAACTCAAATACTGTTTGACGGATTGGGTTCCAAATTTTGTAAGCTTATGCCTCATGGGCATAGGTGCTCTGCTAGAGAAGGAATTTCCAAGATGGCTACTCAGTTCAAAATCCCCATATTTTTGGGAAAAAGGGAATCTTCGAAAACTCAAATACTGGTTGGTGGATTTATATGCTGATGCCTTATGGAAATTAAACTTTTGTTCAAGAAAAAATATTTTAAAGATGGTCACTGAATTCAAAATGACTACTAGTTTTCAGGGAAACAAAATTTTGATAACTTAATGACCAGTTATCAGATTTTGTCAAATTCTTCAGGCTAACATGATATCTAATGAGAATAGAACAGCCCTAGGAAGAATTTCATGTACAGCCAATCAAATTAAAATTGCTGCCAGTTTTTGGTAAAAAACATAATTTTTGTTGATAACTCAAGTACCAATTGTCATATTTGATGAAGATTTTTTTACTCCTTATGGGCATTATGGTCCAATGCCTATATGGGCATAGGACCTCTACTCGAGAAGGAGTTACTGAAATGGTGTCATATCAAGTCTAGATTTTGCCAAAAGGATACAATACTCCTGCCTTGTTATTTAAATCATGAAATGTTCAAAAGACGAGTGATTTGGGCTTTGTACAGTGGGATCTGCTACTCCCTGAATTGCTGAATCCTATTAAGTTAACAGTTTCCCCATCAAATCTTTAGAAACCTCTTAACAAGTACATTATATTTATACAGTGGGATTAGAAAATGTATACATTCACTCACATCCCGGAACTTTTGAATTAAGATTGATGTCACTGGATAAAGAGATTTATTTAATAGTATAAGAACAATGCTATTGTTGGGTTTAAATCCCCATGGTGATGTTTTAACTCCCAGGGGATACAATATATAAGGAAAGCCAGTAGTTGGTAATGTTTCGTTGAAATTAACAGAGAGCAGTAAAAAGGTCATGATATACATTAACTAGACATATCCCAGTTACTTGAATGCAGATTGATTCTATGGGTGATATTGATTGTTTGCGGTTGCCTCTTGTGCTATGTAAATTGGAATGAAGATATTATGTGAGAAAGTATGAGATTTTCTATCTGACACACCCACAGAGATTATATGGATATGACCTTATCTCCCACTTTATAGGAGAAAAAGTATTTATTTTACCGGCCACAGGTGTCAAAGAGCACGTGCAATAGGCATATTTCAGAAAATATACGTATTCTGAAAAAACAGTTTTATTTCATTCTGAATACAGTCTTTGGTTTACTATCAACCAAGTAGCTAGAAAAGGGAGATTATAATTTAGATAAACATAGATTAATGCCCATCTAACACTCCCATGGGTCCTGTATACAACTGTATAAGAAGGTTGCCTTGATGTTATTTTCTTTTAAACCTTAATCAATTTGTATAAATCAATATTTAGCAAACTTCTATATTTTGAACATTGTCCAAGATTATAAGGTTGTGGTATTATTATATACAATAAAAATTGCAAGCATTTTGAATTTTATATATACATATATATTTTTCATACAAATATATGAATTTTGTGATGCATTTCGCTACTATGTATTTTGGAATATATCTTTTGAAACTGATAGAAAAATATGATATTGACACTCACTAGTTACGCTCATTCGGTCAATATCATATTACCCTGGAATAAAATTCATATTGAAAATCAAGCATGAAATAACCTATATACATGTATATAATATGTAGCATTAGAGCTATCAGCTTTTATCACAGATTATTTGATCTGAGAGCATATGCCAATTTTGTAAAAATGATAGTTTGTAGAGGGCAGGGTCTAATGTGACTTCAATTCAGTTGGATATATGACTCATATCTCATTGTGGGCTCTATCTACAGCCTCTGGAAGGGAATTCTAGTCAACAAGGTTCATTTAAAGAAGCTACATTATAACCCATAATATCAAAAGGACATTATCTATTTTTACATACTCTATTATAAAGGGGTTGTCCAATCATAGAGTTGTGAAGCCCATCTTTTATTTTGATGGCAATATGATAGTTTAAAGATGTGAGGTTGGCTATAGATTTTTGAATTGCAAAATATTTTTGAGGCCTCATTATAAAGATTTATTCATAAAGGGTCTTTAGGGTCTTCAGCGAAGATTATACTTATACCTTATTTTATAATAAATCTCCGATTGCAAGTACCGTTATCTAGAATCAGTACAGACAGTTCAACATAAATCTCATAAAATAAGTTTACACTGATCTTGACATCAGACACATGCTTTTCCACCCTTTCTAATTTATCAGACATCAACTGAGCAACATCTTGGATTACAAAGGTATAAAGTTTTCATAAAATCAAACTTGTAAGTGAGTATGACTGAGCTACCTTCTTAAAGATTAATATAGAAGCTGTGGAAACCCCAATGCAGTCATGCATCAAGCCCTTATAACCCCCCCCTTGCTACAAGACAAACCATAATTTTTCTTAGAATGCTTCTGTAAGGGGGCTTATAAGTGAGCCTAGAGTATACCAATGAAGGTGTCTATGTTGGGTGCCCTATGAAGTGTTGACACAACTGAGCAACACTCTTATATTCCTATGATCATCATAGTAAAATCAACATCCTATCCAGTAATTTATGTTTGATGTCAAACTTGTGTAAAAATTGAAGTATTTGATTCATATATTTACAATCAACAAAATCTGTATATTGAGTTAAGTCCTTAAATCTTTAATGATCACGATTTTTGTTTGTCTCGCATTTCATTGAGCCATAAGGCATAAATCAATGATACTACTGGCACAAATGCCCATGAAAAGGACTATGTGTTTTCTTGAATTTTTTTTTATTATTCTAAAAGGACAGCGAAAACTCAGTATGGACTGAAGCCTACCTGGATAAAATGACAGATTGTCTCCTCTTTTTACTCTACATATACAGTGTGGTAGAACTCTGGTTATGAAAACTGATCTGTTTGGGTAGCAAAATGGCGCAGCCACGCAGATTTTCTTTTTCTTTTTCCATGATTTCACAAGATGTAGGCAGAATCTTCATGACCTTTTGAACACAAAGTCAGCATAATGACATAGAAATAAGCATTTGCGAACGAATAGTTCGAATAGAGAATCATTGATGTAATTCCTCGATATTGTTACATTAATAGATGGGTTAAAAGTGCAGATCTCAACTTTTTGAAAATCTATTCCGTAGCAAAAGTGAGGGATTGTATCGATGATCCTGGTATCTTGTGAACTATTCATTCACAAACACTTAGATTTTCTTAAACATATGATGCTGACACACGTTTGTGCCAAAAAGACTGAAGATTCTGCTTAATGATATCATTAGACAAGGAAAATCTTACCTCCGAGGCTGTGTCATTTTGTTACCGAAACAGATCTGTTTCTAAAGAGTTCTACCACAATGGTCATGTATAGAGTTGATTCTAAGAACTGAACTATTTGAGAGTTATTGGGTTATGTTGTGCATGTATATTGATTTGTTAAATGTTACATAAACCTGTTTCCTGATATTATCCTACCTAGGGTTGTTCTTTAATACATAAATGGGCACTTTAACTTCTTCAAGTTGTCTTAGCCTAATGGCACTTCATTTGTTTTAATGCTGATAAATACACATTATAATATAAGCAAATTTCTAAACTAATGCCTACTTGCAATTGGATTCAACTTATCTTGGTCAATATATCAATAAATATCGTTTGGAATGTTAAACTGTTGAATTTCCACTCTGGTTTATCACATCATCATAGTAAAATCAACATCCTATCCAGATCCAGAACATCTTCAACAGATTAAGAGACCCGTATTCTTTTTCAATATATAAAACAGTATATAATATGAAATGAAAAACATTCATTTAAATTTTTTATGCAAAAGTAATTTGTGAAGTCAGAGATACTTATCCATGACGTATCTTCTTAGATTTCATCTGAAAATTAGCCATTCCTTTACTTCCACTTCACTTTGCAATAGTGAAACCAATTATTCAGATACATGACCACTTTAGGATCTGCTTGAGCTATCATATCATTACATACTGCTGAGGAAACTCACAGTATTATCATGAGGTTTGGTCAGTAACTGTGATGTAATTTTACTTATTTCTTTTCTTTATGAAGCTGTTCATACGAATATGAGGGAGATTGTCAAACTTTGGGGAAGTTGTTCAGACACTGAGTGAGGTGTTAAAAAATATTTGATCATTCAAGGTGTTCAAACATTCAAGGTATTGTTCAAAAAATGATGGAGATGTTCAAACATTGATGGAGGTGTTCAAAATTCAGGTAGATGTTCAGATATTCAGAGAGATATTGAACCACTGAGAGAGATGTTAAAACATTGAATCATCACATTTTATTTGATCAAACTATATTCTGTCAATTTGAACAAGTTTTTAACCTTTTCGGTGTATAAAAGATTGGGTGTTTTAATGTCATATTCACCTGATGAGTGAAGGAGTTATATTTGCATTTGAAGATGTGTCAGAAGGTTAAGTACGTAATCTTTTCACTCTTCTTACAACATTCAATGTCATCTTCCATTATATCATGAGCTTCCTTAGATGCGTAACAGACGATCCTAATAATGACATAGTGATAATCAATAATTTTAGCTTTCTCATGAGTATTCTAACAATTTTGTTGTGTTACAGTGTACCAGTTCTATCAATTTGGAAGCTTAATGGTTTTCATATTTCATTTCTAGTGAAGGATCAGGTTGAAACAGACTGTTTAACGATTATAAGAAGCATACTGTATTTGGTTACTTAAGATTATACTTTATATCTTAAGTAGTTGAATTCGTCCCTTGTTCTGGTTTGGTTTACCCTTTGCATTTGTTTGACTTCACTTCTTAAAAGAGAGCTTCGTCTTCACTCTTTCAAACTAAAATAAACCTGTGAACTCACCGCACCAATCAGTGTTCGTTGGCCAAATTTGACCGACGTTCTATATTATGGTCATTCCTTCTGACGTCATCGTTGAGCCCGGAATTGACCAATGACATGCGGATATTAATTAGAGCGCATTTGGCGTTTTCTCCAAGCTCGCTATTGGTGGAAGAAAGGTCAGCGCGTAGGTCAGAAGTGATTTATCACCCAAACTGTCACCGGTACCCATCGTGGGGGCAGGGTTACTAAACTGTAATATGGTCTCTATTAGGCAGAGTGTAGTTTAACTAGACTCTGCACGCAGGGTAGGTTTGGCTGATATGTATCATAATCAAGTTAACTTTTTGTCCTATTTTTAACACAATAAGAGTCTTGATGACACTGTCATAATGGGTGTTTACATCTCACTTCATTAGTTATGATTTATCATTCATTTCACCTTTATGACAGGAATTGAAGGTGTCATGTATAGAATGAGATTCTCATGATCTCAATCTTTGTAGTTAAAGGCAATTTGAAGCCTGTCACTTAATCATTCAATGCTGTACATGCAAGTACCCGGGCCACCTTAGAAGTAGATTCAATTTATGGCAATCAGAGTATATTGTCCCAATAGTTTTTTGTCTTCATCTTGGATGAATATTGAACATGAAATTCAATGTACAACGAATTATTCAGAAATTGAGTTAGTTTGAGAAGGTTGTGTTTTGAATAGAGCTGTAGGCTACACTGAAGCAATACTCAGTAGCTTAATAATTATGTTACGCAGTTCTACAGAATGACAATTTAAATCTGCTTTTCTGAAGGATATTTGGGCTCGATATTGGTTAGGATGAAAAGAATCAATCTAGTTAGGTACATGGAAAAGACACTTTAGATTCATCCAGTTCGACTGAGATAAGTCAAGATGTAAATGATGTCCTTTGTTAAATTGTGTTTTCTCATTACCCTTGCAGAAAATTCATTACATTTCTATGGAGGGAGAAGATTAACGGAGGCATAAAGGGATTTTCAACTTTGAATGTCATGATTGAACTTGTTGAAATTCAATGATTTATTGGACTTCATATGATTGTACCTTTCAGGTAAAGGTATCACCAGCTCAAAAGCTTTGCTCAATAAATCATTCTGTACTTCAAAGTTAGAAATGTAGGTTTTCTTTACTTGTAAAAGCAAACATACTGACCCAGTATGTTTATTCTTTTGAGGCGTGTCTGAATGATAAATACATCTTTTTTGGATAAAGTAAATAACACAGTGCATGTTTTATATAATATAATTTAATATAATAATAGATTTGAATGGGCTTTCTAGAGATGTATTTTCAAGATTATATTAATTAATTTGAGATTAACCTGGAATGAAAGATTGTATTTAATGTTCATATGTATCCGTTCTATTTGTTACCCAACCTTGTTTATAAAAATTAGGAAATCTGGAGAGAAGGTGAATAGTATTATAAAAGACCAGTGTTGGCATAGTAATTGTATTATCTCATCTCAAACTATAATGATAGACTGTGATTGTTCAGATCACGTCACATGACCATTCAATAATTCAATCACATTGAAAGACCTGGATATCCCAGGGGCAGATCTAGGAACCAACAAGGGGGGGGGGGGGGGCAAAAAATCAGGTCAGAGAAAAAAAATTTGGGCCCCTAAAATCCAAAAGTGGGCCCAAATTTTGAAAATTTGAGGCCCATTTTTTCAAAATTTGGCCTGAAATTAAAAAATAAGGCCTTAAAAGGCCCAGTCATGACCAAAAAGGCCCACTTTTTGGGGCCTGAAGGCCTTGTTTGGGCCCACCCAAGGGGGGGAGGGGCCTGGGCCCCCAGGCCCCCCCCCCCTAATCCGCCAGTGTATCCTATGTAATATTGGTGAAGTTCCCAGATGTACTATATGATAATGTGAAAGTACCCTGAGTGCCTTGTGTGATGTTTTCCTTGAGGTTATATTTTCATATATTGCACTCTCTGGCGTGTAATAATGCTATATATTTGTTCTTTTGTTTGACTTCAGGTTGTGGACCTCCCATTTGACTTCAACTTTTATGGCCATGTACAGAAAAAGGTCGTCATAGCAACAGGAGGTAAGTTCCATGTACATTGATAGAGCAGTATAATCTTGGAGAAGCAGTTTCACTGTAAATCAGCTTTTTGATGACAGTGGCAATTACACATAAGTAACAATTTGAAAAGATGTATTAGGGTTGCTTTTAACCCATCGTGTGATATTTTCTACATTAGATTAACATAAAAATATACTTAGACTACTGATCTCTTTAATTTCTAAATCAATGAGATATATGACCTAATGTATGGAATCGTTGAAAAGTAGAACTTCAGATTTATTCTCTAGAAATTAACCTTTGAGAGGCACTCAAGAATGGCCTGTTAAAAAGATGCTTGAGTACCACAACGAAAATGAGAACTGAAGAATCTACGTTTGATTATTATTTCTGCTCCTCAATTTGCAGCAATAAATGTGAAAGTAATAACCTGTTAGTCATGACTGAGATAAGTTGAGATGCCACTGAACTCATTATAACTGCAATCAATCTATCAGGTTCAGAAAATACTTGTTGGGGGGATTGTGATCCAGGCCTGAAGCCAGCCCTTTGCCAAGGAGGGGGGTCACTATTTTAAAAATTCCTGGGAAAGTGCTCAGAATAGTGAAAAACTGCATGATTTGGGTTTGGTTTGAACTTTTGAGAACTTGTAGGTGATTTAATTTTTTAAAAATTGGTGCAGGGGTACAGGTATGTGTTCAAAGCAGTTGCTTGATGCAAGGCAACATTAGGTTAGATCCTATTACAGATTCTGTTTGCATTATCATGTCATGACCAAAAGTGGTGACTTGTTTTTGACTTTTTTTGTGACAGCGGTTGGCAGGTGGCAGTTGGCAATCAGTGTCTGTAACAAATTCTTACAACTTCCTATATTTTAACAAACTTCATATAGCTTAACAAAACCATCAACAAGTTCTCAGAAGTTCAAATCTGACTACATTTGAAATTTGACCTTCAATGACCTTCTCAATGTAAAAAAAAAAGTCAAAAAGGGGCTTACTTCAAATTGACCAAATTTTTTTTTTAAATCATCTACAGTTCAAAACTAACTTTAGATTTAAGATTTGACCTTCAATGACCTTCTCAAGGTAAAAAAGCCCAAAATGGTATTTTTTCAACTAGCCTCAAATTGACCAATTTTTCTTTCCAAACTCATTCAAAAGTTCTCAAAAGTTTAAATCTGCCTTGAGATTGAACCCATAATATTGTGAGCAACTAGGTGGTGACATTTTGTCATATTAATGCCTTTTATATATTACACTCCTCAATGGTACAGTTACAGATTTATCATGAAAGTAACATTTTTGTAGATTTTTTCTGATTTCTTAGTCTTGACATTGTAAAGTGTGTTCTAGGAGTAAAAATCGATAATAGGGATGTAACATTGACAAATTTTAAGCCAGTATGATATTTTATTTAATTTTATTTAACTTGCTTAATGCAGAGTAATGTCATTATTATTATATAGTCTTCATTACCACTATTCAGAGAGTGTACCATATAATGTATATTAGGCTATATGTCACCATGTTATTTCTTGATTAAATTTTTCCAATACCATTAATGTCATAAATCAGATTCTGCATACAGTTTTCATCTGATTTATGAAGGTTTCATTACAGGTATATTGCTGCTAAGCACTCCCAGGTATATTACAATGTAGATTCACTGTATTGTGTAAAATTAATGTCATTGTTATTATTTGTCACCACCAAAAAATGGTGACATATTGTTATGATCTCCGTTTTTTTGTGATGGCAGTTGGCGATCGGTGGTTGGTGGTTGGCGATCGGTGGTTGGCGTCTGTAACAAATTCTTTAAACTTCCAATAACTTAACAAATACTGTTTAGACTGACTCCAGTTTTTTAAAAATCATCTACTTTTTTTCCGAAGTTCAAATCTGACTTTATATTTAAGATTTGACCTTCAGTGATGTCTTTTTTTCAACTTGCTTCAAATTGACAATTTTTAAAAAAAAATCATCTACAAGTTATCAGAAGTTCAAATCTGACTTTATATTTCAGATTTTACCTTCATTTACCATCTCAAGGTCAAAAAAGGTCTTTTTTCAACTTACTTCAAATTGACCATTTTTTCAAAATCATTTAGAAGTTCTTAAAAGTTCAAATCTGACTATAGATTTGACCTTCAATGACATTCTTAAGGTCAAATAAATAATTTGACCTTCAATGACCCTCTCAATGTCGAAAAGGTCTTTTTTCAAATTGTCCAATTTTTCTTTTCAAAATCATCTACAAGTTCTCAGAAGTTCAAATCTGACTTAAGATTGAACTAATAATATTATGAGCAACTAGGTGGTGACATTTTGTCATGTTAATGCCTTGTTACTATTATAACTATTATGTCAATACCAGAAGTGGTGACATACTGTTATAGATTCAAACATTATTGCAGACTTTGTTTGGCAGTTTGTGTTCGTTTTGCATGATAATGCCTTGTTTTCTTTATGACTGGCTTCATCTTAGACGTTTCTTTTTCTTGTAATGTTATCTACTCCCACCCCACATTTAGCTTTGATATTGAATGAAATTTGAGAAAATTTAATTGCATTTTCAGGTTTCATTTACATGAGTCCGTTCCTGCACCAGTGGCTCACAGCTACTCAGTACATTGCTCCACTCATGGCAAACTTTGACACAAGACTTGGAGGCAACACATCTCATATTTATTATGCTAAAAATAGTAAGTGGAGGCGCATTATTATTTTTGTATATATATAATTTACAAATCCCTCATTGAGATTTGCTCCTCTTTGGAGTTGCTGCTTTCTCCTTACCTTTGTTATGATCTTTTATGAGAATGCACATAAACATAAGCTATATCTACAAAGCAACTTGCACAGCCTGGCTCTTTATTGGCATGTCGAGTAGTAGCCTAGTACAATAGCTTGTACATGTCACTTGGGAGAGATTTATCACAGTGGTGTCATAATAAATGTCTGCCTTATGCAATTGAATACTTTTCACTGTGAGTTGAGAAGTCTTGTTTTCATTTCCCTTTCATTACAATTTGCATGTGGTGATCTCCCAGTATTGAAGCAAGGGGTGCACATACTTGACATTTGAAAATAAGTTTACACCTACAATATTAAAACCACCAATTTGCAGTCTGTTCAAAAAATTTGAAAAATCATGAAAAATTGGCCTCAACTTTAATCAAAATTGTGAAAAGAAGAATTTTGCACCTACTTACTACAACTGAACAAATAGCTGCTGAGAACATTGAACTGTAATACCTGAACTTATTTTTCAGCCTTAAACTTTTTGTTCAGCCCTCGCCTTTTAATTGAAGCTCTCATCTGAATCTATTTCTAGAGGCTAGAGTAATAAAGTTAATATCCCATTCTGCTTTTGTAGAAGAATGACAGAGTGGATTTTTCTAATATTCTAAAAAAGCTAATTGAACATACACTATTAAAAGCACATCTCTTTCAAAATAAATTCCGCAACCTTTTGGTTGTCTGTAGCCAGTTACACTATAGTGTTTTAAAATATCTGTTGGAAGGTCTCATTGCTTTATGTTTTTTTTTTATTTATTATTTCCTAAAGTATGGTATTGGGGCTTTCCAATGAGTCCAAAATTTTGGTGGGGTCAAAAAAAATATTAAACTCCCATTTATTTCTGAATTCCTACTCATCTATTATGCTATATATTTCTCCTGGTTGACCAGATCAGCTCAATATATCACTAAGAGGAAGACAAGGGTAATGGTTGTGGCTTACCACTTATATAACCACTTGCTTAAAGGAATTAGAGGGGATAGAGAGTGTAAAGTGTTGGGAGCAATATTTTCAAAAAGCATGCACATGTATACATAACAATCAAATTTTTTATTTTTTGATAAAGGAGTTCAGATATTTGGTCAAATATAGAAGATATTGAAGATTTAAAATGCAAATTCATTTTAATTGAAAAAGGGGTATCAGATATTGGAGATTATCCTGAAGTTAGAACTGCTTGACTTTTTAAAAACCAAACATGACATGGAGTGATGAGAGCAAAAATACTGTAAATTGTAATAATTAATTTCATTCCTTCTACTCCCTTTAATGGACATATACTAGTATAGTATTACTGAAACATTTTTATTATATTTTAGGCACCCATTTTGTGGTGGAGTGGAAGGATGTCTTTGTCCAAGATCATCCTGATGGTAAGTGCAATTTTATGTATTCACTGTGAACTCTATAAGTCAATGTCTTATATGAGGATTATATGAGGTTATATGAGGATTATTAATTAGAAAACACCAACTGATCAGTCTTGTAATTGCAATCAGTTTGTTGCATTCTGTCATGTTGATGTTTTTATGTTGCTGTAGAAATGTCAAAAGGATATGATGTCATATACTGTACTTCGACTTTCCAACATTCTGAGCGATTTAATTACCTTTTTACATTCATTTTCGGGCTCTATTGGAAAACCCCTCATGGATGCTCAGTTGTTCTCCTTAATAGAGTTAAATATTTGTATAATATCAATTCTGTATTCCTATTAATGATTGAAGTTATATTATGTATTTCAGATGGTGCATTCCATTTCCAGGCAACACTCATGTCCAACAATGTTATTATGTTCTCTTACAAAAAGGTATGTCACCAAAAAAATCTTTATTTGCCTGTTGAGTTAAAGATAATTGTTACATGTTGTATCTAAAATATTTTTGAATTCTGTACATTTATGGAAGTACAGTGTACATGTATACATGTATATACCATTCCAAATTCAAACCCCTAAATTCATATCAGCATGGGGACAATTATCTTGGGTGTAAAAATATTTAGTTTATTATAGAGGAGACAAGTCGAGTGATATGATAATGGCTTTTATTACCAAAAAGTGGTGACATATTGTTATGGTCTCCGTTTTTGTGGTAGCGATCGCTGGTTGGTGTCTGTAAAAAATTCTTACAACTTGCAATAACTTAACAAATACTGTTTAGACCGACTTCAGATTTTTTCAAAGTCATCTACAAGTTTTCAGAAGTTCAAATCTGACCTGGATGTTAGATTTGACCTTCATTGACCCTCTCAAGGTCATAAGGGTCTTTGTTTTCAACCTGCTTCAAATTGACCAAATTTTTAAAAGAAAACCTACAAGTTATCAGAAGTTCAAATCTGACTTAAGATTTTAGATTTGACCTTCTCAAGGTCAAAAAATGTCAAAAAGGTCTTTTTTTCAACTTGCTCCAAATTGACCAATTTTTTTCTTCAAAATTGTCTTCACCTTCTCAGAAGTTTAAATCTGACTTTAGATTGGAGATTTCACCTTCAATGACTTTCTCAGGTTCAAAAAAGGTCTTTTTCAACTTGTTTCAAATTGACCAATTTTTTTTCAAAATCATCTACAAGTTCTCAAAAATGTAAATCTGACTTAAAATTTAACTAATAATATTGTGAGCAACTAGGTGGTGACATTTTGTCACATTAATGCCTTGTGATTAATTGTTACTGTTGAAATGAGCCTTTCAGGATGATTCTGAGGCTTGTTTGTGCCAGATGCCTGTTAAGAGTCAATAATTTTGAAACCATGTTGTATTCAAAGTACCGATTCTTATACCTCAGATATTCTCCCTAAGTAACTGTTTGATTTTTCACTTGTTTTAATTCTATTGCCATGATTTATTCAAGTACCAAGTCCTATACCTTAGATATTCATTGAATTCCTCAAAGTTGCACTTTGATTTCTCACTTAAAAGCCATGTTTTTTCAAGGTGCCAATTCCTGTACCTCAGATATCTACTGAGTTCCACAAGGTTACTGTTGGATTGTCTGATGCATTTTATATTGATACTTTACTGGAGAATAGTAAGTTTGGCCATTCATCCCTGTGGCTGGATCAATTGCTACCTTGTTTATCCTATGTATTGCTTCAAAAGCTTTTTCGTGTAACAAATAAGGCTTACTGTGACACTCCTCATATTTGTTGTTCAATGAGAATATTTGTTTGTCCCTAGAAAAAGGGCTGTCTTTGAGAATCATTCCCCATATCATATTGGTCCTTTTGAACTGGAATAAAGATGGTTTGTGGGATAAACCAAAATATGTGAAAGAGTTCTCCAGCAAGGTGTTGATGTCAATTACTTATGTTCAGTTACCATCAGAGCTCAATGCCTTATACCCCATATATTCTAGTATAAGGAAATAGATAAGGCTTTCTATCCTGTTTAGTGTATATGCTGTTGCTTTCTAGGTCCCATTTGATGTGAATGAGATTTCCACAGACAACCACCCAGTAAAGATTGGACTCTCAGATGCTTATTATTATGACAAATATATCCCAGAATACAGTAAGTACATACATATAACCTCCTGATATCTCAGATCTCTTATATCTTCATGTTATAGGTACCTTGCGATGTTTCGAAATTGTCCACACAAAATCATCCAGTAAAAGTAGGCATTTCGGATGCTTATTACTTAGATCGATATCTTCCAGCATTCAGTGAGTAACATGAGGGAAGATGAGGGTGGTTGAACGATTTTGTTGGATATTTATGATTGTGGAATTATTGGTTGTGATGTTTTTCATTTCATATTCATTACATTAAAACAGCTGTATGACAGACAAAATTGGTGATGAGATTTGTATGGAAAAACTTAACTCGCCAAAATAATAAGGTCACTTTGTTCTATTTTCATTGAAATATGGTTCTTAAGCTTATTTGGTTATTGGTTCGATTTATTCAGCATTAAGATTATCCTGTTTTATTTTGTGCAAAAGTGTTGGTTTCTCACATCTTTTGTTGAGATTCTATGTTAATATAAGTATAGCTTTTCTGCTAGTATAAATGCTTCAATGTGGATCTGATCATGTAAATTGTATGCAGCAGGTATAATATATAATTAACAATACAACCTTCCTAATAAGTTTGACAACTGGAAATGTTCATTTGACAGTGTGTTAAAACCTGTTAATCTAAATGTTGTTCCTTTATTACAACATAAAACACCAAATGTAAACAGGAATTAACACACAATTCCAGTTGCCATACTAATGTAGGAGGTCACAAAATCTTTAAAAATAGAAAATGCATAATTGAGAAATAGATGTAGATTTAGAACCAAATTAATAACAAATAAATAAATGTTATTATCAGAGGGGCCAGCTCAAAATATTCTATATCATATATCCCCTTTTTAAGCTTGTAGACCATGAAATGGTATTTGTGTGTAATATTGTTATTATAAACATGTTAATACCTCTCAATTCTAATTTACTTAATAATGACACATCGCTATCTGACCTGGCCTTTTGGCATATCATAATGTACTGCTTATATCAACTGTGTATTACTTTTTAATGTCAGGTTGTGATTATTCCTTAAATGTGAATAGTTTGAATAAGTTCAGCATGACAATATATTGCATTGGTTATTTGTAAAAATCTTGCTTACTAACCACAATAACTCTTATACAGTAGCATTGGATTCAATTAAAAAGTGGCAGGACTTAAACCTCTTGACTACCTGGAGTGAAGAGATTTCTCTTCACCTCAGAGATGACCTTGAAACCCAGAGTGACGAGAAAATCCGTCATAAAATTTTTCACTATAATAGCTCTTATTTGAACAATTTTCAACTGCCAATTTACACAAAAATAGTACTAAGTTGAGCGTCTTAAGTTGTAAAGGTATGAAGTAAAATGTCAAAAGGTGGCAAAAATGAAATATTATCTGGTTTCAACCAATTTTTCTGGGATTCAAGAGGTTAACCATAACAGGCCTATTATCATCATGTTTCATTTCCACTTAAATTCTAATTACTCATGTATGAATGACGTTATCAATATTAAGTTGCCATGATATCAAATCTATGTTATATATTATGTATCATCTCAAATGCATTGCCTTCTTACTTGGAAAAAAGTTCCCTCATGTTCAGCCTATATTGGCAAGCATAGTTATACCCGTCTGATAGAACAACTTTAAGTAAATCCTCTCCACTTGGAACAGTGTTCAAAAGAACCAAATTTCATCAACTTACTAATATGTAGAGAACACCTTTCAATTTTCGTCATTATAGAGGGTACTCCATAAACACATGTTTTATAATCAGGCATATTTGACATGATACAACAAACATACTAATCATAACACAATTGCAATAGATATTAGACGCAGGGTGATTTACGAATATCACAGGATTGTGATTTCAACAGAAGAAATAAGTATCAGTGAAAACTACAGCATTATATTCCATCCAGAACCTAGTAAGTTAGTGGCCATTTTGGATGTTGCATCCTGGGATATTATTTCCATATTAGGTATTGTGAAGTTGCATGGATGATGGGATACACCAGGCCTCTGTTGTCTAGATGTAATGTTCTCGTTTTGTTCTTTAAGTAGCTGTTTATGTTCGGTACCATATATTCTCACCTATGAAGGTTTTCCTTGGTCTTCTTTTTCAATCATACAGCTACTTGAGAATCATGTTATATCATGTAGTTATCTCACGTGCAAATCTGTTCATTTTGATGTATCTCAACGTATATGACACTGAATGTAAAACACAATGGGAGTGTTTAGTGTTTGGGCTCAAATGGACATGTATCTTTCGAATAAGGTTCTGCCCAACTGAACATGTTTTGAAAAGCTTGAGCAGAGAGATATAACATACATGATTCTAAACTGGCTGCCTGTTTGTCGTTTCGATTGATTTAATGTTATTTGTTATTCTCTTGCATGGCATGATAGCATGGTTTGATTGATTCTATTTGTTTTCAGACATCAAGCGCAGGACTATATATGAATACCACAGGGTGGACATTGCCACTGATAAATACAGATTCATAACTGCTGGGTCTTCTGTACTATTTGCCCCTTTGCCAAGTAAGTATTGAGGATATGCCTGACCATTTGCTGGACAGTGTCATTACACTGTACCAGCATATCTGAGTCCTTTCTAGTTTTGGTACAGTCATAACTTTTGACATTAAGTAAAACTTCTTCAGTGGAATTTTTAGATTCCCACCACTGAAATGTAAGTTATGACTACCAAAACTCAAGGATTTGAAAATTCTCTTATATCCGCTCCAACAAGCCTCATTGAAATTTTCCAGATATAATCGGTCGCACCATATATGAATACCACAGACTGGACTTACGAAAAGATAAACTGAAATATATTCATAACAATGTTGCCATTCAAATGACTCCAAAGAAAAGTGAGTAAGGAATGCTCCCAAATTTTGCTGAATGCATTTTGCATATAAGCTGCTGCGTTTGAATGCATTAAAAGTGGAATGCTAGACAACCATATACCTAATGATGAGGTTGTCTTTGATTGGTGAAACGTTAAAACTTTCAGGCCATGCTGTAAATTATTTGACAAGCTTTTGGTAACAAGGTTATGAAAGTTTCAACATTTCCATAGTTGAGGATTTCTACACATACTAAACCAATACATTGCCTCTAGAATGACGACAGTACGATGGCTTCCATTGCTACCCTTCCCTTAGTTTGGCATTAAGACACATCAACTGTGGTCAATATAACCCCATGTTTTACATCCAGAATAACTTACTAGTTGTTTATAACAAGACAGTCTGCAATGCATGAATGCCTTTTATTAAAACAAATTTTCTCCATTTACACAATTGATGCTGTATTATTCATCTCTATAATTTTCTTCTTTCAAACAGAATAGGCATGCTTTTAAAAACATGACTTGAACTTGATAATATGTTACATGTTATAACAGTTGCAAAGCTAAAAGCATGAAACCTTCCTATTATTAGTACATGTGTTAATTTTTGATTATATATGTTCATTTTTAAACGTTTTACAGCCAAAGCTTGACAGTTTTTCTATTTCTTATGACAATGTTCTATTCTATACTATGTTGAATATGCTTAATGCTAATAAGTTTGTTGTTAACCATGTAGGCATGTTATTGTTACCTCTGTATATATGCAAAGAGAAAGCACACAAGGCAATAATGGAAAAACATCAAAAATAATGTAGTCCAACCCTGAAAGTAGCAAACACAAAAGTATTTTCAGTTTTGAATCCACACATAATTGTAGATATCTTCATTATTCATTTGTCAATCAGTTAATGTAGCAGATTTGAGTCGATACATACTTTCATTCTCATTAGTACTGGAATATTTATTATAGTTTTGCAGTCAGTGATGTTTATGTCTATATAGATACAGGAAAATATATCTAAACCAAATGCCATGCCTTCCATAGTTCACATTTCTATGATTATTAATACTGGAAGTCTATAGCAGATAAAGTTGGCCTAAAAAGCATTCACATTAAAAGGTGTTCAGATTGGTAAGGTGTGCATATACACAGGTTGTACTGCATATTGTTATCACTTTGCATAGTTTTTTTTAAAATTTCCACCTGTTTTTGAAACTATATGTAGGTGAAACTGATAGATGCATGAAAAATATTTATGTACATGGAGCATGTCCAAATTTATTTGAGAAACGGCATGTTGAGAAAAGAACAGTGTTGTTCATGTTGAAGTACTTTGCACAATATGCTGCAAAATATATTGCAAGATTACAATTAATTATCTTGTAGATAATTAATTGTGGGAGTAAAGAACTCAATAAAAACAAGTTATTGTAGAATAAAGAACTGTAGAGTGCAGAAAAAGTAAAGTTATTGTTGAGTGAAAATTTATCTATAACTAAATGTTGAAACATCATACACTTGTAGCATGTGTCATTGTACCAGATTTGCCCATGTCTTGTATAACAAATCAATAAGAAATGAATTGAATTCCAGCATGCAACTTACTGAAGTCATGTACACAATGCCTTGAGGCAAAAATAGGCTTTGACTGTGGTTGGTGTGGTTCTCTAAAGAGATGCTCCAATGGCCTGGATCGAAATAGACAGGAATGGCTGCAACAGAATTGCCCAGCTAAGGTATGCTGAACATTTATTTTTTAAGTGATTAGTCAATACATGTTCAGTATTTAGACCCTAATCTTGTATATTTATGAAAACTAGAATTAAGATTACCTTTAAATACCCAGCCCTGTGCCTATATAAATAATATATATGTATTTTGAGTATACCATAAGCACTATTGCTTGATTTCAATTATTACAGAATGTTATTTTTATGTAATTTGATGAACATGTTTAATCTGTAATTTAACAGTTGTGTTTCAATTTATTGATGTATACAACATTTCTAAGGGCAATGGTAAATAAATAAAATGTTTAGCATATCCTCTTGGTTTCATTTCAAAATACAAGTATAGAATATAGTGATAATTATATGTGCATCATATTTTATTGTAGACTCTTAATTTATTGGTTTTGTTTCACAATGTTAGCCGTATTTTAGCTAATGTTATTCCATAATTAAAACTCAATAATGCTAAACATTTAATTTGATTAGTGTAGCCCTGATTTTACAAAATCATGTTATTGCTTATTTGTATACTAGCATTAAGGTTTTGGAGATATTTATAAATTATAATATTTCAGTTTACATTCATGTGTTTTCCTTTGGATTAACTGATTCTGAATGATTTGGTTGTCATTGAAATTCAGTTATTTTAGTAGCCTCCACAAATGATAACAGTTGTGATTTGTATAGCAGAATACATTGTATAGTAAATATATTGTATAATGAGTTTTACTGTGTCACTGTGAAGGGTTCAATTATATTATTTGTTAAAAAGGTTATCAGATATTCATTGGCTAATGGCCATCTTTATTATGTCATAGCAGGCAATCTGTGAATAAATAGATTTATTCATCATTCCTGGGAATTTATTTTGTCTAGAGTAGGTGTACATAACAAATGTGTGAACCTATACAAATGTATTTCTCAGTGTTTATAATATGATTTAAAAATATTGAATAGTAATATTGATAGTCATATAACATAAAACTAATATTTCATTTCATTTTTTCATGAATACCTGATATTCCAAGAGCCCAATAGGCTTTGTGGAATATTACTTGTGAAAAATGCACAGGTCTTCACCTCAATAGGATGAAATATTTGTTCAGTGTTCAGGGGTGTCCCCATGGTTTTTCCAAGAGGGGTGCATCTATAACTAAAAGTCTCCTTCATCATAACTTGCATGTGATGCCTTTGAAGCATTCCTTCTCCATCTCTTTCACAAGAGCAAAATTTTCTTCTTTCCTCTGAGTCTCCTTCTCAGCACCATGAACAATGTCCTCTGGATTGGCTCAAAAAGGGGGTGCGGCCGCACCAAACGCACCCCTCCTGGACGCCAATTGTGTAACCATAGCTGTTCTCGAGACACTAAAATGATTTCATTTTTCCAACATTTTGTAATATACCTGTCCCATTGTAACCCAGTGCTCTCAATGCAAATTTAGAATTAGGAGTATTTGGACAGATTTTACTGTGCCATATTATAACAAAGAGGACATATAACTTATATAACTTGTCTATGTTGGATTTCAGTGTTCATTTAGATTTGATTCCTCACATTTTAATTTGATTATTGATGCAGGTGTAATATTAGTTAAGTTAGGTTGTGGTTAGTAAATGGTTGTACAAACAATTTGAAGGCTGGTTATCTACCTGATGTGTCATTTATTTCATTGGTACGTACTTTCATGAAATAAATTATCATATTTGATCAATGGTGACTAGCTTAGTTTTTGAAATCATTGTGTTTGCTTGGATAATAGATGGATATGTTATACGCTAAAACTAACTAAACACCATCAGGACCTTTCTGAACTACATAAAACAGTTGAGATTATTCAAATCAGGCATGGCAGAGTACCACACAATGTGATGACCGCTCCACTTCTATTGCTAACCCTACAAAAGCTATTAGTAGTGACCCTGATGTGACTACCATAAATAGTCAACCTGCTCAAGTAACAGTTGGTAATGCTGATACTGCTGCTGGTGGGAATAGCCAAGCTGCAGTTGATAACAATGTTGGAGATTGTGATCCGGTGGTAATAATTATGTTACATTGCAGCCTATCATCAGCAATAACATATTGCCATATGCTTAGTTAAGATGCTTCTGAAAGGTTCATTGATTTGTAAGCCAAGATGAAAAGATTATCTTGTTTAAATTTGCTAGGTTATATTTTGGTCATCTTAACATTATTCTGTGAAAATTCTCAGGTGTATAAATTTGTAATTAGGAGGCCCTCTAAAGGAGGCTTCCTATAGCTTTCTTAGCTTTTTTATTTATCATAATTCTATCGAAGCAATTTGATTCTACTTTGAGGTATTTTATATACTAGTAGTGATCAACTATATGCTTCAATTAGGAAGCTTGGCTGAAATTGGGAGAAATTGATTTCAATCAAGATCAAGTTCAAACTCTAGGTCAAATCAAAGTTTCTCAAAGCCTGACACTACACTTCAAGCTTTTGCCTAAAATTAAGCATTTAGATAGAACAAATGTATTCTATTATGTTAGCCTTTTGCCGCCTAAAGAAATCTTTCCTAGATTTTTGAGATGTTGGAAAACATTACAAACAGTCAAAAAAGGCAATTTTTAACTTCAAATTGACTTGATTTTGAAAAACACCAATATCGCTGTTGTCCTGTGCTGGTGAGCACGCATGTGTGAGCCTGTATTACAGGTGTCACATTTTTGGCATCAAAATTCCACGAAAAGAGCGGACTTAAGCGCCAATATTTGATCAAGTTTTGGGTTTGCTTGGCAAAATACATGACAACTAATTTGCAACTAACTTCGGAACAAACTAACTTACTTGCTTGCTTAGTAACTTGCCTATTTACTTACTTGCTTATTTACTTACTCATATAAACTTTCTTGATTCCGACTTCCTATTTATTACTCATTTACTTATTAAAAGGGATTTTCGGGCCTCCATAAGATTACTTGCAATCTTGGTGTCTAATTATTATGAAAAGATTATTTTGTGGAAACTTTTTCAAATTATTATTTCAATTTAAATTCAAGCTGTTCTACATTTTATTCTGTGAAATTTTGAGAAGCGATTAATTTGTAATCAAATGCATTCCCTTCATGCAAAGTTCAAGATATTTAGCACTGCTTTTTTGATAGCCATGTAGTAGATCTGTATCACAAAAGAATATAATCAGATGTCAAACACTTCTTGATTTTACACATTCTTTTAATCTAAAATTGTTTTTGCAGGAATTGTAACACCAATTTTAGTTTCACTGGAATTTTGGATTCCACGTGCTTTTGTTTGTGTTGATGGTGTTCATTTCTATTCTTAATAAGTTTTACTGGAATTATGGATTCAACACGCCTCTGTTCATATAAATAATGTTCTTGTAGGCTTTGAGGATTAATTAGGTTCATTACATGTATCTTAAGGGAGCAAGTTGATATATTAAATGCCCCCAGTGTGGATATTATGCATCATCTTACATTCCTAGGTGAAAAGGCCAAACTCTATTAAGAATAAGAATGAGATAATGAAAAGATAATATGTGTTTGTATTGAATGTTATAGGGGGCATACTAGATACTAAAAGATAACATGTGTTTGTATTGAATGTTATAGGGGGCATTCTTCATAAAACCTCTTTTTGCCTCCGTTTTATATTATTTCTAATTATATCTAAATGTGAATATCCTGTTAACCCATTGTTATGGTCACATAAAATATATATTGCAACAAGATATAGGTCATACCTTTTTAAATGCATGGAAGGACCATATCCATGGGATTTAGCAAATTGCAATAAAAAAACAGTTCCCTGATTTCCTTCTCATATGTCTTTTCCATTCTTGGGTATTTTATCTGAAACTTACTTTTCTTATCTAACTTCTAACAAATAAAATATCCATTTATGCATAAAAGTCATATACCCCCGAAATCATAAGCAATGCTTTATAGTGCATAATTATGATATATCATTTTTTATTTGTTGTAATCACTATAATATACTGTTTTAAAGCATGGTGAAAAGTGTGATGGCTCAGAAGGTTAGTATACATGTATTTGGATCTGGGTTTAATTATGTTGCTATGTTGCTTTAAGCATGCTTCAAGTTGTGAAGGGTTTCCTGATACCCCCAATACAGATAAACAAGCCTCTCCACCAGGTGAGCATGCACATATGTACAGGGTGGGCCAAAAAATGTCCATTTGTTTAATCCTGAAGATTTATTTATCCCATTTCAGGAACAATTGCAAAAGTGATTCCTACATCCGCTGCGAAAGTATTATCAAAATTCATGCATTTTCAAAAATAAAAAATGAAAATTGGATGTTTTTTTGGCCTACGCTGTATATAAACAATTCTCAATTTGCTTAGTACATGATACAATTCAACCACAGTTTTCTCCATGAGACAATATTGAGTGGTGATATAACCACTCTGTTATAAGTTGCACCACTCATTTTACATTAAGGCCACATGCTTTTTTATTTTAATTAAGATTATTTTGCACAGGCACTCTTCAACCACTCAAGTTGAACAAAATTGGAGAAGACTGATTTATGAACACCATTTTGGGGTAGATCATTTGATCATTTTCATGAGCAAAGTTCTGGTAACATTTCAAAGATGCTTGTTCTACTTTTTTAACTCAGCCTGTATGGTCCATTCTTTTCATATGCTACTGCTTATGACACACAGAGAGGCTGCATACATGTCCTCTTGGCTAATCAGGAATTGTATCATGTATGCAAAAGAGACAAAGTTAGTGTGTTAATTTATAATTCATGTTGTTTTATAGGTTTCTACTCATTCTATCTGACGGATCTGCTTCAGTGTTGTATACTGCCTTACAGTTACTGATGGTAACACACTGGTCCTGGAATTCATACATCCCAAACAAATGTAAAAATCTCAGATGAATGGTCATACTTTATTGAGTATGAATATACTTGACCTTTATAGCGAATATATTATATTATTCTATCACCCCAAATTATTGTTACCTTCTTAAAAAAGCAAAAGAAAATCACCTCCTCATGCTTTTAATTTGATAACATGTTTGAGATTCCACAAGACCAGTGTGATACTTTTGTCACATGTACAGACCCTCTCCATATTGGGTGTGCATGTTAAATGTACACCCTTCCCCTAAACAGGATGTGTACTTTTTTTCTTAGTGTTTATGTGTATGTCATTATTAGGATCTCAAGGTTTGTCCAGGAGGTTCAGGGGGAACTGGCATCCAAACAGGTAGTGAACCAAAGGGGGATAAACTAGATGGTACCCCAGGTCAAGGTACTATGACATCATGCATGCTTAACAACATGCTCAGTAGATTCTTCCAATGAGTTCCTATTATGAAATGAACCAAATGAATTTTCCCCATTTTTACGCCATCCTATTTTTCAACCATAATTTTACGATATGTTATAGGCTTCTACAGTGCTCCTTGATTGTTGCACAGTCATTGATATTAGCCTCATTATATAGCCTACAACTAATATGATCAAATTTATTTTGCTGCAGCTAACCAAAAAGTAATCTGAAAATGTGGTTTGATGAAAAAACTCTGTATTTCTGATTTTGATATTTCAAAAACCCTCTTTATTCCTTTTTGATTCCGATATAATATGGTCAGATTTGATTCTTTAAGTTTTTGTTTTTTAGATCATTGAGTGGTATTTGTGTTGTGTTTATATTTGATTATTATGTCCCTGCCAAAATGTGCATGTATGACCCCTACCCATTTATTAAGCTACCCCATTGGTAGGAGTTATAACTTCATGATTTTTGTGATTTCTAGGTATTTTGAGGCATGTATGCTTGATGCAAAATTCCCAAAAAATTCTCAACCCAAAAATGACAACAATGAAAAGTTATTTAGATTCATTAAAGAATTTTCATGATTTATAAAAATTGAATAAGTTGTTATGAAAATAAAGGAGACAGATGTAGCGTATCAAAAACTGTAATTAGAAATTCGATATTTTAAGTTTCTCATATCTTGGATACATGTCTTAAAATATTAATTGATCATTCAATATGTGTTAATGTTATAAATAAAGGAACATGTACATTTTAAAATTGTCTTGTTTCTATAACATCATGGTTTAGTTAAATTGAAAGATTCAGAATGCAATATGGCATTAATTAAGATATTGACATCAATAAGTTTTCATATGTGTCCAAATGAAGCTTAATGAAATAAAATTAAACTGAAATATATCACTGAAGTTTATCAAAATCATTGCACTTTTCCCACATTGCATTCTGACCCATTGATTAAATCTACACACTGTATATACATGTTTGTGTATGTTCTTGAGATGTATACCGTCTATTTTGGTAATAGTAAAAATAAAGATATTTGAAATGAAATACTAGTCGCTTATTATTAAGCGAACAAACATTCATTGTAAATCTGTTAAACAATATGATTTATGTTCATTGCTTCCAAACATCAATATGTAACATTTAGAATTTAGTGCAAAGCTTTGAGGGGCATCTTCAACAGCCTTGTTCTAACACATATCTTCCTGCAGGTGGTATTAAACACAAGATCTCCTTATCAAATATGAAATGAAAACACCTTGTACAAAATTATTTTTTAAAGGCATTGAGAGCCATCTTTTAAACACAAGAATTGTGAGAACAAAAATTGTTTTAGAGAGAAAGTGTGACATAAAATTTAATGGTGAGGTTCTAAACGATAAAGTCTGGTCTCAGTTTTTTGAATGTACAACCGATACTACCCTTTTGGTAATTCAATGGAAAATTTTACATGGTATTTACCCTCAAAATATTTATTTGAAGAAATGTAACATAGAAAACTCTGACATCTGTAACTTTTGTAACGCACATGTAAAAGATGACATTGACCACTTCTTTATCAATTGTGACTGTATTAAATCAATTTGGAATGATGTAAATGTTACAAATGATCAAAAAATTGGAAATGCAATTGTTAAAAAAGAAGATTTACTTAAAACATTGGTAATTAAAAAATCTATACATGATTTTAAAAAAAGGGTCAATACAGCTTGTAATGTAAAAGCAATTTTTGATACTGAGATAATGATCAGAAAGATGTAATGTAACTTGAAATTTCTATAATTGTATTTTTTGTATTTTATCTAATTGTATGCATGTAATGTAAAATATGTTTATTAATAAAGTTTGATTTTATAAAAAAAAAAAAAATCTTCCTGCAGGTGGGATGAGTCCATTTGGCATAGTAGCTATTGTTGTCCTGCTTGTGGCTCTGGTAGCAGCATTGGTCGGGGGAATTGTCTACGCCTACAAGAATCCAAACTCCAGGGCTGGAATGTGGCTCATTGAGGTTAGTATATAAGCTTGCAAGAGTAGAGGATCATTTGCACAGTTATTCAAAGAGCCATCAATAGAAAAACTGTCTGGTAAGGGACTTGTTTGCAGTTTTGATAAAATAACATTTTCTCAGCATATATTTTCTGCTTCAAAACTGCATTGCTTATTTAATTGTTCGCATATTCACTATAGCATCACAAGCTACGACATATTCCTTTTGGCTGAATGTTCTGAATATTTATATTGACATATAGAGGGTGTAGGTAGTAGCCTGTGGATAGAATGAGTTCAAATGCGGAAAACTCACATTATCATTTTAAGGTATTTGTACAAGCATATGTATTCAGGGAATTTAAATTGTAGTTTAGACATGATCTTTGTTTTAAAAACTAAATATAATTTTTTTTACTTAATGCAACAGAACAGGGTATGTATGTGTAACTGTATACTAATCTGTAGACAGATCCCATTGTTGATTTTAGTACTTTTCATTGTAAAGTACACTTAATATTTCTATTTCCATTAGAAAGCAAAACTATAGTGGAAACATTTGGCACAACATAACTTAATGTTTCCAAATTGCCTTTTTTAAATGATTGATACAACTCTTCATCCAGCAGGAATGTTCTGATCTAAGTGTAAAAATTATTTTTCAATACAATACATCAAGGATTAGAGTACATACATATTAATATTGAAATTATAAACTGATTACATGTTATATTTTTTGCTAATTTCTAGAACCGGCCAAGTCAGCTAGCTCAAAAAATTAAGTTCTGGAAAGGAGGCGAGGGAACAGGCGAAAAATATGCTGTCTCTGGGGTTGGAGAGTCTAATGCTTAGAGGTGAGATTTATACTTTCTCTGGATTTGGAGAGTCTAATGCTTAGAGATGAGATATACACTTTCTCTGGGGTTGAACTTTCTCTGGGGTCGGAGAGTCTATTTACTATAGATTATAAATGAGATTTGAACCTCAATAGGCTTAGTATTTTTGAACATGTTTGATCTTGTTAAGTAAGTGCATTATTATGTCACCCCCAAAAAGTGTTGACATATTGTTACGGTTTCCTTTTTTGTGACGGCGATTGGCAGTTGCTTCAAATTGTTTTTCAAAGTCATCCACAAGTTCTCAGAATGTCAAATCTGACTTTTGATTAAATATTTGAGCTATAATGACTTTCTAAAGGTCAAAAAAGGTTAAAAAGGTATTTTCTCAACTTGCTTTAAATAACCAATTTTTCAAAATCATTTACAAGTTTTCAAAAGTTTAAACCTGACTATAGATGAGATTCAACCTTTAATTACCTTCTCAAGGTAAAGAAAAAAGATTCATAATATTGTGAGCAACTAGGTGGTGACATTTTGTCATGTTAATGCCTTGTATAACATTGCAGAGTAGACTGCATTATAAACTTGATTGAAGTTATCTTTAACAAGCTGAATGTCTAATTGATTGTTTTGTTTTGCAGAAACAAAGATGTTTTGTATTTACCCCGAAACAGTAACTACATAAAGCTCTCAGAGACACACATTGGATACATACATAAGTAATAACCCATGCAGAGTGTTATTGAATTGTAATACACATTACACATACACACCATGTAATAGGCACAAAACAAATGGAAATATTAACTAATAACGTTAAAACATGGAAGAGAGAGTCTAAATTACACCACACATATTGCATTGCAGTGCAAAGGACTACCCAACTTAGGAAAAATACTATCTTGTTTTAGTTGATGAAGCAGTAGGTTTGAGATGTACTTAATACTAAAGCTTTGACAATGTACTTTCTGAATTTGCCTCTCAGTTGATTGGTTCAGTTTATGCTTTCACATTATATGCCTTTTTTCATGATATCCCGGCTGTTGGCTCTGCTTATTGGCAAAGATTAAATGAGAATGTGATACTCCTCTGGATACTATACATGCCAATAATAAGTGCATTGTTTGAGCTGGATGCATAAACTGAACCAAGAGGATAAAAATTCAAAACCACTCTGGAGTGAACAAAAGTCAGTAGTTCAGTCGGAGCTCTACCTGACAGATGGGAGGTTTAATCAGCAAGTATTTATATTTATTACGAAAATGTGATGTGAGCTACAAAGAAAACAACTTATGAATAACTCAGGCTGACTTGATGAGTATGTTAAATTGCATTTCACAAAATAACTGAGACTTTGGAATTTAATAAATTGACTGATTTTACACTTTTTACCCACAAGATAACACCTTTATCATTCAAAATTGTTGAAGATTTGTTGATTCCATGACACAAAGATGTTGTTTTACTGTAGTATGGGGCATTATGACATTAAGGAACATATCAGTTCAGATTGAAAGTGTAGAGAGTATAGAACTATTGAACAGATATATGTATAAATCAGCAAAGTAATATTTTTCTATACTAGGCTATATAACCACATCTTGTATATTTAAAAGTGTTAATTCACTGATTGTAAAAAATAGATGAAACAATTAGCCTTTCACTAGTTTTTCTCAGTCTTGTTAGTCCTAGGATTTGTATTTGTATTAATCTTGTTAAAGACTAATTTCTGCATGCATCTCTCTCAATACCTTTTTGTAAACATTTATGAAGTTTGTGTGTCACACTTTTAAGATGATTTTCTTCAATATTTATTATTAATAACATTTATTATTGTCCTCAGGGCACTTGATGGCCTTGTTCAATATATGAATATGTTCCAAGGAATATCATTTTCACATACTCCTTTATTTATGTTAATACATAGTCATTTGGAAAACTAGATCTTTTATTTTATACATTTATGTTACAATTTATTGTTTTTTGTTTTACACAAACCTGTCAGTCTTTAAGATATTGATGCTTCAGATTTTTGCTTGAGAAATGAATAAATATGACTTTGATTTCTATTTTTCAAGTAAGATCTGTTTTTAAGTTAATTTATTGATATTATGTTCCACCTACAGCTCTTTTTATTCCGAATATTTATCTGATCAAAAATGTGTGAGGAATCTTTTTAGATGGACATCTCTTTCTATACATTTATTCATATTTATTTGCTTGTAGATCTGCAATGTTTGAATTGAATGCTGCACTTTATGTATTATAAATTATATGACTGTAAATAAATACATATAGCCTAATAGGGACCAATTTTCTCAGTCATGCAGAAGTTTAGGCTCAATTTCTTACAGAATATTTTACAACTTTCTAGAGATATGTATTGTAGAAACTCATTTTATTCAGAAAATTGTTTTAATGATAATCAGATTCATTACAAATAAATTAGCGAATATTTGCCTGAATAATAAATAATAAAAAATATATATGTTAATGTGCTTGGTAAACATTGTTATCACAAAATGGAGTCAATATGAAATATTCACTCTTTGTTTAGGATAGGTTGTTATTTCGTCTATAACACCTTAGTTTCTCAATAACTGAATATGTTTAAGAGTAAAATTAAATGTTCATGACTTACACCAATGTTAAAAGTGATTATGTGATTTATTTTATTGTACAAAGCTATATGTATATTTTTAAGAATAAATGGTCACAGTAATGACAAGCATGTACCAGATATAGTAGATTTACACAAATGCAAGACTAATTAGAATATCTGTGAATAGTTTTACATCATTTGATTGTTTGTAAATTTTGTAAGACTAAAATTGTTCCTCACAATTTGTAAACTTGTTTCAATGTGCATTGATTAGTCCAGAATAAATTACTGTTATGTACAGCTTATCTAATAACATGTTTTTCTATTGTTTTTTTACACAAAACTCGCCCTTATATTTCCAATGTTGCACAGTAATTATTCCACCAAAGTTTAAGGGGGATATAGAGAAGCTGTCCGTCTGTCCTTTCATTCGTCTGTCTCTGGGTGATAACCCAAATACTGGTTGATGGATTTAATTCAAAGGATAGGTAGCAAGAATATGGTGAACTAAATTCAACATTGTTTTTCTCTTCAACCAATTATTGAAATCATCTTGTCTGTAATGGGTGAAAGTTATATCTAAATATTTTGCTGGAGGTGTCTGGTAATTCAAATACCAGTGGACTGATTTGGTTCAAGAAGAATGGACAAGTGTTAGTCACAACTAAAACGGTAAATATTCATTAGGGTGACATCTATATTTAGATGTCACAATTCAGTTTCTATTAGTCAAAACTCGGTTTGGAGAAAAGTCCCATGGGCTCATAATTTTTTTATGAAAAATATAGAAATATCACTCAAATTAAATTATGGATATTCAAAAGAGGACATTTGAATCTACAATATGTAAAAATGTCAAAATTGTCCAAAGCAGGCGTAATGTGCAGTAAACTGATGAATTTAGTTAGAGATTAAAACCATCGTCGCTTTCCACTTGGTCTAGAGACCTTGTGGCATAAAAGGTAAACTTATTTGTCCCATTCATATGTGGCGGTTCAGGGAAGTCCACGGACCCAATCAGAATGCTCCGCTTCTTCAGGTGACAAAATATTGAAAATGTCTTAATAAATATTGCATCGTTGATTGGCCGATTGGTCTTATGGTGTCTCACAAAACTGCGGGCAACTGCCAGGAGCAATATTGAGAGTGAACTCAGCTGGAGTTTATTTACACAGTGATCGATTAAATCAGGCGGATTTATCAAGGTGATGTAGGAACAATAAGTCAGTATTTCTTGAGGTGACATTAAAATGGATGAATTTTGAAACTTTTGAACTGTATGTATGTATCTTTTATTCCCGATTTCAAATCGGATTTCATATAAACTAATTACATTGTTAGATTAATACAATAAACATTAAACATAAACAAGGTGACAACATATTTTCAATCTTTAAAAGTAATATAAAAATTTCAGATTACAAGATCTTCTGCAAGTTTATGCAAATAAGGGTACGAGACTAATCCCCGAGTCTGATATCACTGTATGAATGTATCTCAGGATGAGCTCTAAATTATGTATCTCAAATGACTCCGAGGCAGGACCGCATACAGAAGCACAAATTTCTCTTGGATCGAACGCTGGATGGTTGTTGGGTAACGCAATGTCAATAATGAGTTTATTCCTCATGTGATTGTACTCATTACAGTCGATTAGCATGTGATTTATAGCATCCTTATAGAAATTGCCACATCTATCGCAAAGAAGGTTGGAGTCATTGACGGGTTTCAAGTTGTCAAGCTTGAACTTTCTCTGGGGTTGGAGAGTCTAATGCTTAGAGGTGAGATATGCACTGTCTAATGCTTAGAGGTGAGATATGCACTGTCTAATGCTTAGAGGTGAGATATGCACTGTCTAATGCTTAGAAGTGCATTTTCTCCGGGGTTGGAAGGTCTAATGCTTAAAGGTGAAGATCATCTGAGAGCAGTTGAAGCATGTATACATGACTATCAATTACTTAGTGACTTGAAAACATTACATAACAGTGTGTTATATTACAAAACAATATTTATTCTTAGTGTTTTACAAGTGAATAACTTAAACCTACTTCTTTCAAACTTGACATTGAACTTATTGTCATTAAACATTTTCATCAGGGAGTATGCCTAATAAGATCCTTCACAGATTTTATGGCGCTTCCCAACTGATAAACAAAATAAAATAGCAAAACTTAATCGTCCTTACACATCATGCCAATTCTCCTGTTTGACTTTCTGAAAAAATTTAAATAGATAATCAAATATAGAAGTTTTTGAAGGGTTAAGAAAATAGAGACATTATCTTCCAATGTGTTGCCAGATAGAGTAACATGAAAAAATCAAAGAATTGCCCTGAAATAAAGTCATAACTGATTGATTTTTAAGAAAAAGGCACAATGTGTATTAATAAAAGTAAAAAATATAAAACTGCCACATTTTAACTTGTTTTTAAAAGAGCAAAGAAAGAAAACTTTTTCAATGTACTTGTTTCATGGCAGTGTTAACATGAGACAATGTTCTATACTAGTAGTCTACATTGAACTTCAAAACAACATGTTCTACTGTCTCAAATCAATTGTTTAGCTTAAATGTTAAATGCAGGTTACTTCATAAATATATCAAAAGTGTGTCTACTTTAATGTATAATACTAATAAAGGATAATTATAGTATATTTGGCAAATTCAGAATTGAGTTCACACATCAATTGTATGAGTCTTTCTCAACACATGTTTGAGACTTGTATGCAGTAATCATATAAATCGTAAACTACCCATATATCAATCTTGTACTCAATACCCATGCACCGAACAAATAATGAGAACTATTCTCTCACTCAATGATTTGACGCATTTTAGATTTTCATCTTCAATAACTAGTTTCAAATGTCAACTGCAGTCTGTTGTAGATACCATATATTCATATGCAACATAACATCAGTGAAAGATGGATTGGCATACTTGTATTTGAGACATTTGTTGCTTTACACTATTGTTGATTTGCTAACCATCTCTCGCTCGATGAACTGTATTTTGTAGATAAACAGTAAAATTAATGCACCTTTAACAGATAACTTGAATTTAGCAATGTTAATGTTAAATTAAGATGATTCAGTGTATTCACTAATAATATATAGAGCTAATCATTTCATGACAACAGGTGGTGTCATAATGGTGGTAAGTTATATTTAACTGTGACATCATGTCAGCTGTATGACATCACACAATCAGTTGTGTGGCATCACACGAACCAGCTGTGTGACATCATATGTCCTGTTACTGTTTGATGTGATAAAAGAGAAACCAATTATCCAGGTAATAGTTTCACCTTCTCTTCAGTTTTAACTTCGATTTCTTGGCTGAACTGCTCGTCGAAGGAGATTGTGTGCTTACTTTGTACCATGGTAGTGAAAACTCCCTGGAAACATAATAAAAAACGTCATATGTAAATCAATATCAAGGAATTCATTGTTTATATACTGTTTTATAAAACATTAAATCATGCAAAACACTCCACACTGTTTGGAGATCATTGTTCTATGCAACCTAGAAAAAAAGTTGGTATATTTGTTAAATATGAAAAGTCTTCAAGAGAGCTCTATTGAATGTACACTCCTTCAATTCAGGATCATTTGGTCTAGCCTGTAATCTACTTTTCTGAAGACAATCACAATAATTGTTGGATAAAATCATGCGACCCCACTTTCAGGGGGACCAGACAAACGTCATGACCATCTCTGACAAATTACCATGGCTTTGCAAAAGTTAGGCCTCTGTTAGAAATGAAAACAGTGTAAATCCAAGTTACCAATGTGGAGTACTCTGCATGTTTTTCACATTAAGTGTGGTCAACCTGCAGTTGAAACTGATCTTCTGAATTATTTACAATGATATACAACTAAATGTGTTCTAAATAGATCTGCATACAAACTGAGAAAAGTTAACTCAAATGTGAACTCAGAAGTGAGCTTTGCAGGTCTGTCACAAGCTTGACAAAATCATGGTTTGACATACTTACCCTGGGGAGAGGCTTGGAATAGGATAGCCAAATGCATTAACTGGAATCTTATTGGTGATTTCAATGTGAGTAGCTGAAAGAATAGAAAGTAAATCTGTAACACAAGGCAGAGTCAGAACAGAAAAAATTTGGTTTGGAGAGTATGTGTGATAAGTAAAATAAAACAATGGAAAACAGTTCATGAGGTTATTTGCTCAAACAGCAATATTATAACACATACTTTATCTCATCTATAGTAATTTGTACATTTACCACACGGTCCTAACTTCGACCGTTAATTTGAATTTTTGACCTACCAGGTGCTTGAAAATCAAGGATTGCGAGTCTTATACTGCACCGTTTTTCTTCAAACTTATACCATTAAAAGCAGAACAAAATTGCCTTTCTGTCGGTGCATTACTTTATTGTGAAGAGTCCCTCGTTCTAGCAGCGTTTTGGTCCCCAGCTGTTAGGCCTTCCAGCTGGGGACCAAAATGCCGCTGGAAGTAGGGACTCTGTTGAAGATAATAATGTACCATCAGAAAGGGATTTGTGTTATGCTTTGAATGGAACAAGTTTGAAGAAAAACGGTGCAGTATGAGACTCGTAATCCTTGATTTTCAAACATCCGGTAGGTCAAAAATTCAAATTAACGGTCTAAGTTAGGACTGCATGATTTACATAATAAGGAATTTTATTTCAGTAAAAATGATGACCTTCGGAGACAGTATTTCACAAGAAGTTCAGAGGATGATACTATATAGTGCATGCTCAGGAAGATTGTACTTTCTATAGAAACAATTTGCATTGTTTACTCTTTGAATTTATTCCCTTCTTTTCTGGTCAATTGATCATGTTTAACACTTATTTAAAACTAAGATTTAGTCACTGTTTTCTTACCATCTTCAGGCTCTGGTTGGAAGGTTTCTATTTGTTCCTTCACAAAGTTTGATGAACTATATTTAGACCCACATCTTCCTTCTTTCAATTTTTCATATAATTTCTGTTCCCGTATTCGTTGCATATCCCATCTTTTCCTTCGTTTCTCATCAGTTTCTGGCTTTTGATGGCGCTTAAGGAAGATTTCATCCTCAAGGTTCTGAAATATTGGGCAAAATACTTTATGTTGTACATATGATGACATTTTATACAAGGTATTAACATGCAAAATGTCACCACCTGTTATTCGCTATAGACGCCAATCACCAAACCCCGAACAACATCCATAAAAAAGACTATAATAACAATATCTCATCACTTGTGGTGGTGACATAATAACCGAGGTCTTGTATTTCTAAATGTACTATTATGCACCAAAACTGATCTACCTTTATAAAATAATATACATTCTTTTTTGGTCCTGTTGCATTAACTCAATGCAACTACAAGATCCTATCACGTCACAATGCCCTGGGAAGCAACAACTTTTTTTTATTACAAACCATCTTTAAATTTGATTTCAGTTTTAGTTCCAACTCACCTCTGTACCTTCTAATGTGTAGCAGTTTGCCACTGGATTGATTCTGAAGGAGGGAACTGAAAAACATCAACAAATATTGAAGTACATGTATATAAAACACATCATATCTTTTAGTAAGTATTTGGCCCTCAACTTTTTCAATTTCAATGTTAATCAAATTTCTGTATTTTTACCATTGCAATGGCCATTTTAGCAATCGGGGAGCTTTGTACTAAAATTAACTGACTTCTGCAGGGCCAGAGAAAATAAATTTGGTATTAACTATACCTTTCTCTAGACCCTTTTATACTTTATTTTTGCAAGTCTTGATTCAAAATTTACAACAATGACAGGAAAGTTACAAAATTATATTCCATCAATTATGAACTTTTATACTTTGGATGCTATAATACCGTTTCTGTACACCTCACCCAATTGTGACAATTTATAATGATCACATTACACTTACTTTCAACTCTACTGTTGCACTTCTTGGGGCTGAGCAATACATATTGAGGTTGTATATCCTGTGTTACATGATACATTGTCCCTGTCCTGAGGATTTTATCTGAGTCATTTATAGGCCTACACTTCAGTTTAGTTTTGATTTTCTCAGTCACTGTTTGGAATAATGAGTCATGATTGCGAGCCTGAGGAAGTGTTTCAGATTGGATTTTCACTGGGTGAATAAAGCCATTAGATGGCGCCTGTGTCTGAGCCCTAGTGAGACGGGCTGGCATTTGAGATCTGGATTTCTGAGGTGATGGAGCAGCTACAGACTGACTCTTTTTTAGTGAGGAGCTCACTAATTTACTAGATTTAGTGGACCCTCTTTTGTTTTGTAGATTTGTCTTTAAGTTCTGACTGAGCCTGCTGATGGCTTTTTTCTTGGAGGCAGCTGCAAATTTTTTGTTAAGTACCTTTGGAGGTGGATCTGGAGTTGTGGAACACTTCCTGAAATTGAAACAATTGATTAATGTAAATCATAAAAACTTCGCTTTAGGGTAGCCTAACATAATAACACTTTTTTAGAGAAAGCTATGCTCCCATGGTGAATTGGTATTCCGTTAGAGGTAAATTGTCATGTGGATTTTTTGAATTTTTAAACCTATCCCCAATGACCTCCAAAGTTTTACAAATTGGCATAAATGACAAAAATTGTTCATTTTCTTGGTTCAAATAAAGAATGCAATAGCATAGAACACTAATTATTCTCCAAAAAAACATCTACCTACTGATTTGGCCTGATATAATATGAAGATGTTAATTCTTGGAAAATCAAAATAAACATTAAAAGTACCGGACCCAATTTAACACGAATAGCACTAAATAAACCTTTAAATCCTGTGACTTAGGAAGACATCATTCTTCAGTCATTAGAATTCTCTGAAAAAGCTTTTTATCATCGAGAAAACGTATTTTATAAGGTGAGAATTTCACTTTTTTATATCTAATAGAATTATACTTTATACTGGTTTTACTTTATATGTCTACTAGGTACCTTTTTAATGGTTTATTTTCAGTTTCAGCCTCTTTAACTTCAGCTGGTGTTTCTGGTACTTCATCTTCTATATCCACCTTAGGGGAAATCACTGGTTTAATATCCGCCTCATCAGGGATGAATTTGCGGCTATATCTGTCTCTAGAACCAGATCTCCCGTTCTGTTGCTTTAAAAGTGACATTCTACGCTCCATTCTCTCAAGTCGACATTTTAACTGCAAACAAAAAATATAATTTACATTATATCATTTGAATTTTGAACTGATTTCCCAATTTTATCTTTCTCATTAATTTGTCCACAAATTGGTCTCTGGTAATAAATAGCTATACCACTGCCATCTATATATAAGTATAAAGTTCATTACAAAGTTACAAAACTAATACAAGGCACACTTCAGGTTTCAATAACATGTTTTGGAAATCTCTGGACTTTATCATCATTAACTGCATAAATGCAATTTTGCATTCATACATTTGTTTTGTACTACATTGATTCATTTTGGCGATACCTTTGCTATTAGATCTTTGAATATGCTCAACTACATATACACTTGTTCATCTTGATCCTCCAAGTTTTACTATACTATGACTGAATAAATACACTGGATTTAACAAAAACTAATTGTGTTGCTCAAAAATAGAGCTTTAATTAGTATAATAATAGAAGTAGATGTGAACAATATGGACCTTGTCTGTCTTTGATACCAATGAGATTCCTATTGTATCCATTATTAATTTTATCTGGCATTTGCAGTTTACAGATGTAAAATTTCCAGAAGTTTTATCCAGCTTGTGTGTAAGACCAGGAGAGTAACTACATGCATGAAATATAAATATCAAGACCTACTCAGACCTTTTATAAGTTGTTTGAGTAATTGCAATCAAACACCATGAAATTAGCTCAATTGTGTTATAAAAGTTAACTGAGTTAAGTGAGGTGGCCGTATTTGATTCAATAGCTGCACAAATCTAAATAGGATCATACTGTACCCATTGCACATAAAACCCTTTAAATTAATGTTCAATAGAATAGAAAGTGAAAAGAAAATAACTGAATGAATACATGATAAAAACATGATCAAATGTATCTCATCTGAAAAAGTGAATGACACATAATACCACCTTCACTTAGGGGAAAAAATAAGTAAACTTTATTGCTTTGGTTTCAAAAGGGCAAATAAAACAAAATAGTACGATGAATTGCTTGCAAGAGAGTCTATCAAGCTGACCCAAATCTCACCCATAAACAACTATCCTTTATCAGTTGTTAACTGGTAACATCAGGTCTGGCCTTATATGTACACGTTGCTAACTGTAACCTTAAGGTGACATTTAAGTTAATCAAAAGTACAAAAACATGGAAGCCATATTTTTTTGATAAAGTCAGAAGATTTTGTATACTGTTTTCCTGTATGTGAATGCATTTCCTGACTAAAGAGACACATAAAAGAAAACCTCACATTTAAACGCATATTTCATAACTATGAATTGGAGGTGTATGGCTCCCAAAAGCTAGCATGAAGAGTGCGAAGTGAGGCTATTTTTTGAAAGTTTCAAGGAGTAGCCTTGCAACAGTCACACATTTGCAAGAATTCAAAATTTCTAGATATAGTCTTACCTTACCAAGGAACAACGAAGGAGCACGAAAATGTGTACTTCTTGCATTGTTAGAGTATAATAAAGCTCAAACCATTGTGAATTCTAAATATTTCATGTCCACCATTTTGTTTCCTGGAACTATTTTTTAGTCCAGAGTTATCTTCATTCATGTTTCCATTGTTTATCATTCATAAAGCCTCTATCATGTATCTATCATTATAATTACACTGTAATAGATAAAACATACAAGTGATTATCCATGCCACTTGGTGTAGTCACAAAACTTGCATGAGGATTAATCAGGAAGTCTAGAAGTAGTTCCGGCAAACAAAATGTGGACATGAAATATTTAGAATTTACAATGGTTTGAGCTTTATTATACTCTAACAATGCAAGAAGTGCACATTTTCATGCTCCTTCGTTGTTCCTGGGAAAGGTAAGATGATTTGTGGAAATTTTAGACTCTTGCAAATGTGTGACTGTTGCAAGGCTACACCTTGAAACTTTCAAAAATTAGCCTCACTTCGCACTCTTCATGCTAGCTTTGGGGATCCATGCACCTCCAATTCATAGTTTGGAAAAATGCGTTTATGTGTGATGTTAACTTTGACATGTTTCATTAGTCAAGGTACACAATTCATATACAAGGTAAACAGATTTTAAAAACATGTGTCTTTATCAAAAAAATATGGCAGTCATTTTTTGTACTTTTTATTTAATATAGCGTCGCCTTAATAAACCTGGGCTCTGGCCAGTTAGCTTAAAACTTGAATATTGAAACGTGTCAAACAAAGTTAACAGTCAAAATAACCTTTCAATATCAACAAACCTTGGTTTACACACATTACTTGTTTTATGTACATTTCAGATAATGGTTCAAACTAATTCAGAGATATCTTTATAAGGCTGGTAAATCATTCTCAACCATTTTTCTAAAAAAATTCCTTTGTTTCATATGAATCAATATCACAAATGATGGAAGAGCCATAGCTCTATTATTATCAGACATCATTCATACTCTAGACTGCCAGATTATCAATCAATACATATCTATGAAATGAACAAAGAAGTTTGTATATTTCTGAGTTACTTGCCTGATTTTCCCATATGTTCCTAGTCCCATATCGAAGACTTGAGGGCATCAGAACAGTTGCCATGTTCTTCAACCTTTGCGAAAGAAATCCTAAATATCTAGACAAAGAGCTCCGTTTTGAAAGAGATTCACCGTTAACAACCTTTAACTCTAAACTCATGCTTCCTATAATGCTAATGTGACCTGACCTGTATGTCAACATCAACCTAGGCTCTGATTGGTTGGCAATTATTGATCATGTGATCACTTGAGGTACTAATAAAGTCACATGACCAGAAATAACACCAGGAATATCAATAGTAAATGATCTGACATCTGAACAGGAGCATATAAATTGGAAATAGCTACCGTACTACACTGAACTACAGTAAATGATTTAATATACAGTGTATTGGCAGACTGGTCATGCAGTGGTTAAATGCAATATTACATGTATTATGCATAGATGTGTAATGGCAGAAATCATTAATGCTCCAGGGATGACACACAACTAAATGATTGAAGTCAGGCAGAGTAAAATCTTCTGTTGGCTAACCTAAATAAATGAATCAAACTATGAAATTCTCGTCAACTTCAACATTTACTTTTCAACACAAAATCTCATGAACTTGAAAAATATCAAAAACATCCCTTGAATTGCTATGGGCTTACCAAAGGTGAAAGGCATGATGTTTTGTGAATACACAGTAGTGTAATAGGCCTACTTCAAAAATAACCCTATATTTATTATTTAAGGCTGTCGATCAAGACTGATCAGGATGTAACCAAGCTAAAAAGACTTGATACAACTTCCTGTGCCACCCTCTCTTGCAACCCTTCCAAGTTCTAATGCATACTGGGCTGCCATATTGAATTCCCTCATCAGATAACAAGGCCGAATTCAAACCTGTTTTTTAGGAGATATTCCTTATAAATCTTGCTCCACATACTATGGAACAAAAGGTCTAGAACAAAATAAGGTTATGGGTGATAAACATGTATTCTTACCGCGCTATTATCGGATGTCAGTGTCCCAATTTGTCGATCTTTTGCGATTATCAATTCTTGCTGTTGTTGAATGAGATCAAGATGAAGGATCAAGAGTTCCTTTAATTGTTTCGTTTCTTGGTCATGTGTTGCAGAACTTGTAGGCTCATCACAAAGAGGATTGTTTGTTGTATTGTTACCATTCGTCTGGTCAATCATCAACACATCATGTTGTTTGTAAATGGTGCTACAACTTGGAGAATTATTCGTGTCTTCTGCGTCGTGTCCGAGGTCGAGAATTTGTCGAGAGTTACCATTCTCAATCGACATTGAGTTTCTAGATGTTCTCCGTTTATGTATTGATTCTCGTCCTTCGATTTTAAATGTTGACGATTCTTTCGTTGCTGTGCTCATAGTATTATCTGTCATGGATGGATAGCATCGCTATAACTCTTCATGAAATATCGCACTTTTTGCTAATTTTTCATGAAAAAATGGCCGCCTTTTAAATTTGAAGACCCCATAAAATCGAGTTGAGAAATAAAATAAAACAAACATTTGCTGAAGTCTTTCAAAATAAAATTCTGTGATAAAAATGACAAAAAATAAGCATTTTCTTCGGAATGATTATGATTTTCTATGAATTAATATCTGTATATAATCAAAATGAGCTGACTAAGATAGAAAAAGCTTAAGTTTCATTGATCATCGAAGAGGTCTTTAACATGTACTTGTCGAGGAACAAATGTTGATTATGTTACATGATAAATCTATAACAAGAATATTGGGAAATATTTTAAATTTGACTATCAATAATTTAATATCTCATACAAATAAAAGATTAAGTGAATTATGTTTGAACTATATACTATAAAAATTGTCTTTGGTGTGCATCCGATGTCTCCGTGGCGCAATCGGTTAGCGCGTTCGGCTGTTAACCGAAAGGTTGGTGGTTCAAGCCCACCCGGGGACGAGGAAATATTTTATTTATTATTGTTTTGCATCGTGCCGGTTATCATGCTTGTATCATGTATATTCTTAATTGCAATTCAAATATGACCCTGATAATTATGAAGTATAACACTTTACCATAAATATCTTCAATATTGTCTCTGCAAAAAAATTTATTTGCTGACATGATATCACGTGCCAGGACCCACAGGATAACTTGAATGCACCTGGGTTATTTTAAGAGTTGAGTGAAAATCGATAAATAGTACCACAGGGAATAACAAGCCATGTGCCTATGCAGGTCAATTGGAAAGAGTTGGATTGTTGTCAATGAAGGTGTTAAAATTGTTGTCAGTGGACAACATGTTATGGAATGTAACCCATGTTAACATGTAACCCATGTTATGGACTAGTTTATGTTTTGGAAATTGATACTGTATTTCTTTTAAAACTATTTAAGTTATCGAAATACAATATGTGAGCAAATAATTAATTTGATATAAAAGTTTGCATGATTCATTCATTTTTGATAGAATTATCAACCATTTGCCATCATTCAAATCAAGAGTTATTTAAAACACACACTTTGTGAAAAGTGGGCATGCACTTCTATGGATCTCTGAACTTCAAATAATGTTTTTATGTTCAGCAGCTGTCTAGAAAATCTCTTCTTGAGCAAAGCTCCTTTGTCCCTAGGCATTAGCATATAAAATTTGAACTCAATCCATCCACTGGTATTTGAGTAGCCAAATATATTGAAAATTCCTTCTCAAGCATAGGTCCTACACCCATAAGCTATAAGCCTATAAAAGGATCTAGAGCACTCTCCATTATGATTTCCCCATGAAAAAATTAATTCATCAGATCTCCTAAATATTTTTTACAGTATTATTAGACATTGTATTCTTCATATTACACCTAAAAATGATTCATTTTGTTCATGGGGAAATCATAATGGAGAGTGCACTAGATCCTTTGATCTAAACAGGACATGGGTTTTCGCCTGGACAGACAAACGAACGGATGTCATTTGTTGTTGCTGCATTAGATTCTTCTTTCATTGTCTTCTTTCTTTGTCTTGATTTGATTGTGATGTTAGTTATCTTTCTTCAGGGTCCACAGACTTGAGACTGCGCTGACTTAATTCATGAACATAAATAAATGACGAACATGGTTACAATATTTTCACTTTTTATTACAATATAAACTATTCATCAATGATTATTCAAAACATGATATAACTAATAATAAAAAAAGTTTTACTTCAGGTCTTTCATTATACAACTACAAAGTTGAGCTAGTTTAGGTAGACAGATTTAAATCAGTAATTTGGTGAATAGAACATTTCATCATGTTGTCATCCCTCTGAACCATCTCAACAAATTCAGTTGGAAACCAGAAATTGGAAATAACTAAGATTCATGAAATCAATTAAATATTACTTAAAATCATGCATGTAACACAATAATCAAATACATTGTACAAGTACATAATATTATATCACTATACAGAGTATGCAAAAAAGAAGTGTTGCAACCTTTATCCCAAGACACCAGTATATTAAAATAACAACAAAAATCAGAGAAAGTGTTACCAATAAGAACTAAATAGATGATGGACATGTTTTGTGACTTTATAATTGATTTAACCAGGCAACTTACAATAAATAGTAGACATGCAATTTATAGTAAACAAGGACTGATATACATGTGAGGCATCTCATATACAAGACATCAATTTTGAATATAAAACTTGTGTATATGGAATACCCTAAACACAGCAAAATTGTTCCTTTTAAACAAGTGTTCCTTGCAGAGGGGTTCATTATTACAACTAACATATTTGTCAACATTTCTACATAGATGGGTATTCCTTACAAACATATGCTTCGTCATACAGATGCTTCTTTATTTCTGTCTTGTGTTTCATTTCTATCCTACTTTGATAAACACAAAGATAATGATGCGATCATTAATATATAATATGTACACATATACAGAGGAAAGCTGATCATCTTTTCCATTCAGGTGTTTAAAAGTTCTCCTTTCTTCCTCTTCCAACTCAATATTAAATATTTGACTTTGAAATCACATTTCATGCAATGCTCTTGAAATTATTATTATAGTATTTAAGAAATTATTACATATTTAGAGGGTTCTGTTTTTTGGGTCACCCTGTATACCATTACTGTATAAGAAACATTGTGCTTATTTCATGTATTTTATGATGAAAATTGCAACATACTGTATATCATATACCACATAACAATTTGTTTGTGTTTGAATCATAATATGATAAAAAATGAGCCAATAACAAACTATGCTTTGAATATGAGCTAAAGTCTACTTTAATTAATATGAAATCCCCATGGTGATCATCCTCTCAATGACATCACATTGTAGCATTCTCATTATATCATAAAGTTACGAATCGGCCATTAACAGAACACTTTCGTAAGTCATTCATAAGTTTTATCGTTCGTAAACGAATTTCAAATTGTGACGTCATCTTATATCATTATTTAGCACAAATAAAAATATGATGTCATTTGGTATCATTGCGCGCTGTGATTAAACCTGTCTCCGCGATTTCAAAGAATCCCAGCTCAGGAACATATTTGCTTATCATGTAAGAATAGGTGAATATTTTAGCTTGAAACTCAGCATGCATATAAAAAACAATTTCTTTTTGCCAACCTGTATACCTTACATAAGAAGTGGATGAGAAATATGCCATTCGCAAAGTTATGAAAGGGTCTGAGGTGCTATTAAAGTTACAAACGAAAGCACATGTGACGTCATTTTTTCGTAACTTTGCGAATCATTCGTAACTTTACGAAAGTTCTGTTAATGCACATTTACCAAATTTGTAAAATTAACAATTGACTTGCGAATTCGTAACTTTGCGAAAGTTCTGTTAATGACCCCCAGATTGTTGCTTAAGATGCAATTTTTAATGATAGGATAATGGTAATGTTAGTATATGAAGACCCCCATGGAATCTCTGGATGGGATGATTTGACAAAATTGATACAAAGAGAATTTTACAAAACCTTATGAACATGAGTTGTGGAGATATTTGTTACTGTTCCCTGTGAGCTATTGTAACTGCTCTGGTGGCTTGTAAATACATGTCTATCCATTTTAACTGTTCCTAGCGAGTTATAGGGATTTATTTGTGGTGAGTTGTAGTATCTATAGCTGTCTCCTTTGTGTTATAATGATATTTGTAACTGCTCTAAGTGAAGATCTTGGTGGTACTATATGTATGTGGGCTATTCCTGGAGATCATGTGTTATTCTCTATGTATCAGCACAAATAGTCCAAGGCAAGCTAATAATGCATACTGGAAAATAATTAACATTTGTTTTATGATTATGTACTGATACAGATGTTGCATGTATTTTTATGTTTGCCCCTTTTTCATAGGGCTAATTACCAATGAATACACTATATTAAACAAAAATTATTAGAAAAAATAGAAGCGATCTGAATCAATATCCCCTCGTTCAATTTTATTGAAATTGACCACTTGTATACTCAGCTGTGTATACTGTTAAGTAATTGAGGGGGTCAAAATGACAATGTTCATAACATGATTATACAAATACAGAACATGGTCCTTTCTTCAAGCTGACTCTGAACTCTGAACTCTAAACTCTGTGCTGTAAGCTTACCTTGAATTTAGGATAGTCATTCATTAGTATTGTAACTATGCCTACATATGGTACAAATCTGAAAATATATAAGGATTGCATATCAAATGGTGTATTTTAGTCAATCTCTGCAATCACACAATTCGATTTTTATGAGATGAATATACTTTGACTGATCCAGTGCTTATTATTTCTAACCTAATAAAAAATTTTTACTACAAAATTTTTCTTTTTATTTCTCAACATAACTGCCTATTTACACAAGTAAATTTCAGAAGTATCCTTTTTCTTAAAGCTCAAAGACAAGCATTTTACTTAAAAATACAGTGTAGTGGACATGAAGTAAAACCCAATGTATCAAAAATCTGTCCTATAAAGTGAAGCTACCAGCAGTTAGGGAGAAATTATTCAGAAGTAGTACAATGAAGGACTGGACAGAATGACAGACAGACGAGCCTAGATGACAATATGACCCCATATATTATATGCATTTACACAAATACCAGTCCAGGTGCAATATACATATATATATAATGTACTTACCCCTTAGCTCTACCAACTACATCTTTTTTCTCTAGCCATAATTGTCCTGGAGCATAAAGTCCTCTATCATCTACGCTGTTATTGTCCCCCTTGGTAAGGAATTTCACTTTTCCATTCTCTCTAAAAATATTTCAAAGTATAAAATGTTATGTAGACTCTGCTTGTTAAAGTGTCTTTCTTAGACTTAGAAGGAGAAATTTGAGATTTCGAGCCATATGTCTCAAGAAAATGCTCTTACCTTTCTAGTAGGATGAGTTCAGGTGCCAAAAACAGCTGATCAAAGGATATATATCATTTTCTAACTGAATTTTTTTGTTGAGCCTTGCATTTTTAACACTGTTTTGACAGGAAGTCATACCCAAAATGAAAACTGAATAAAACAATATTTATCCTAAATGTAGATCAAAATACTTACTCAGACATGCAAAATGTTATTATTAGTAGTAATGCTGATCATTTTCAAGAAATTTAAGCATGTAAATAAGACTTTTTTCGTCCATGATTATATACATAAAGAATTTCTTTCTTCAGAAAGCTTTGACACTGTGGTGTAGTGGTTAGAGCTTCGGACTCAGACATCAGACTTTTATTCCAAAAGATCTGGGTTCAAATCCCACGGGTGGAACATGTTTTTATTCTTTATTTTTTTTTTTTTCATTTTGATCCACAATATTTCTGAAATAATATTTTATATATGGCACTTAAACCATATTTAGTATTTCCAAGAGTTTTAATTTTTAGATGAAATCATAGAAAGTTACTTTAAGAAACCTTGTTGTATTAACACTTCTTTGGTTAATAACTTTTTTTAATAACTATTTTATCAAAATAGGATAATGTGATCAGAAAGACATAACATGTGTGAAAATTTGCTAGGAAGACCCAACAATATTCAGTTCCATATTCACAAGAATACACAATGGAGACTTTAAGCTATGCATATAAAATCAAAACGTCAACCTGTACGTATAAATCGCCCTTTACAAATGCATGTAGTTTCTCACATAATCATTTTGTTCAGTTACAGTTTTTACTTAGTCCGTTACTTAGACTACACATCATCGTGTAATATACCAATGATAGTTAGATAGCTGGTTTTCTCGGATACATATTTTAAACAAGCTTGTTTCATGAGATATTTGGAGCTAAAACATGTATGACATACATCATTTTCTTCAGAAAGCATTATACTGTGCATCAAAATCAAAATTGCTAGCCATAAGAAGTAGATTCTTTATTTTGCGTCCTGGCAAAATCCAAATCATGCAAGGGTACAAGGAAAACAAACACAAACTCAAGAAAAAACACAAACTAGTTTGCTGAGAAATGTATACATTTTATGGGCATAATAAAAGTGATGACATACCAATTTGCAGTGATTATAAACACATACATATCTATTTATATTTAAACATAGCTATTTTCAAGGTTTAAACATAAGAAAATACACAATGTATGCCAAAGTAATCAATAACACTGTCAATTTTGATGCACATCAAATTATCCGCCATTTTGTCTGATTCTGATTGAACAAAATGGTACTTTCAGACCCTTGTGATTGCTATTTGGATGTGTTTGTTTTTTCTGATTTACTCAAAATTGTGCAAGCAAGGGGATGCAAAACAAAGAATCTGCTTCTTATGGCCTTAGTACTCTATATGGTATTCAATAGACATGAGTATGATTCCCATTGACACCAACATAAAACTGCAAATCTCCCGTTCTAAACACGAAACTGAAGCTAATCAGGTATCTGAAGAAGACTAAGTAGTATTTGTTTTGTATGCGCTATACACATTACTGTATTGCTTCATTGACTTTGCGTTCACTAGCTTAAAGTTTCCAATGTATAACATATGTGACTGTTTGTTGAACGGAAAGTGTCAAAGCAATAATTTGGAAGTTCCATAGCATACATGTATCTCTGATAGTATTGTGGCGATGTGCCATAATCGTACGTCAGCAATTCAGGAGTAAACATTGATACACATCACGATGTATATCGAGAAAAAGTCCGAGAAACGCTAAAGCACGAAAATACCAAACAAAACAAATAAATAATAGTATTCTGGTACATCCAGGTACTTCCCCTAATGGTGAAGTGAAAGAAAAGTAAAAAATGTGAGATCAATGGTTCAAATCGACAGTTTAAAAGCAAAAGAATATCAGAGAACATTGGAAAATGAATTAACAATTAAGACATGAGAAAGGTAAGCCGTTTGCTTCAAAATGAGATAAGGGTGATTTTTAGCAAAATTAATTTTTTTAAAACATTGATGTTTTGTTTCAGACATCGATGCATTGCCAGAATCAGCTATGGCGATGTTAATCAATTGTATCGATTAATTGCGACAACACTATTCTCTGATAGTTAAGTTCATAATGCAAACATTACTCACTTTTCATGAACCTTTAAAACTCTATGAACTATAGGAATATCCCTTCCTTCTATTTTGAAGACTACAATTTCGCCAACTCTGATTGGTTCTTCTTCATGGTTGGTTAGCAACAGCAAGTCTCCTCTGAAGAATGCTGGCTCCATACTTCCACTAAAATGAAAATCAATCAATGCATTTACACTTGTAGACGTTTCCCGAGCATTAAATGAGGGATATAGAAAATGACCTCACACATAAAAATTTAGAACTGGCTTATTGTTGCACAATTTTAGAGCTTCATAGTTTGAAAACCGAATGTATGCTTCACATTAATCTCTTGCACTCTTAAAGGTTGTATATATGTATATGTATAACTAAAGTGTTTTTGACACCTTTTCAAAGCCTGAATTCAGCATGTTACCGTGTGTATAATACTTTTCATCACTTCCACTTTTAGCAATTTTCAGAACGTTTCGTTAAGTGTATTTAATGAAGGGCCCATCTTAAATCAAATACGAAGACATTGCGGTTTTTGGGCTTATTACTTGAAAGCATAATGCATTTTTATTATCATATATTAATATTAATATGACGAATCGATTGCAATATTATAGAACACTTATCATACCCTATTTAGGGCTCATTATTTTTGTATACTAATGTAAAATAATTTGGGAATCCACTAAGTGTTGGGAGATTTCTCCAAATATATCATTCTTACTATACGTTGGATTATATGGAGATATTCATTGTGACATTTGTTTTGGGAATTCCTGACAACGGCCGAACACTTTCACTTTCATTATTAGAGCACTTTGACATTCAATTGGAAATTGAAAGTGCATTTAGTAGATTTAGTTAATGAAAAGGAATCAAATTGATGATTATCCTCAAAAAGTAGTTTTTTACATTTTCTAAAACCTAGATAGTAATATACATCCTTTAATTTTCTGCTTCATCAAAACTAAAGACAAAATTCGATTTCTTATTTGTAGAATTTGTGAAAACCAATAGGAGCACTCTGAAACGCCACGTATATTGGACCTACCTAAGCACAACGACAATTGGGCTCTCACTTCCTGTGACTACCATTAGACCTTTCCATATCATCAGAGCTGAAGCCACTATCATAGCAAAGTTAAGCACCTGGTAGTACAACTGAAACAGATATACTGAGATTAAGCATCATACATACTTTGGTAATACATGAGTTGCAGAGACCAGAATGCAAGTTTTAGATTGATCCACATTTATAACTTATGCTACATAGTTGAATATACATGTATTTAACTGTGTAGGAATTAAAGAAATGTAACCCAAGAAATAAACTTCAGATCAATACTAGACACAAGTGTATTAATTTTCAAACGAGGTTGTCAATGTGAAAGAAATGATGATGTGCAGTATTTATTAAATATGTTTCAGATACATGAATCAATCAGAACATCTTCCCTATTGTTCCATTTCTTTTTGCAAGCTGATGGCTAGACATTTAAATGTGTTTGTTTTCTTGTACTTTGGACTTTTTGAGTGCTAAATCTAAACATGAAGTACATGTACAAAAATAGGACAATGTCCAGGTTTGTCCGCTAAAAATGTATGAGGTTGTGTCTGGGGTTGACTGCTGAAAATATTTCATTTTTACTATATAACTACCTTGATGTCTGAGTTTGTCTGACAAGTGCAAGTTTGATGTATCAATGTACAATTATATATATACTGCCAAAATCGTGGCTTAGCAATCACTGGTATGAAATTTTCTCAACCAACTAAAGATTACTTGTCACACATAGCACTTCGGCACAAATCACTTCAAAATAGGTAGGAGGAAGTCTTTTATCTTTCGTTTAAATGTTCCATCAGCCCTATGAGATGGTGAAACTCTCTAAAACGTCTTGTACCAGAAATTAAGGACATGAAGAACTATGGGGATAGGCTAAGAAATCTGAAGTTACCATCACTCCTGTATAAAAGACGAGGGAATCTCATCCAAACCTACAAAATCATGAAAGGTCTTGATAGGATAAATATCACATACATTGCTGAAATATCTGAAGCACGTAGAACCAGAGGAAACACTGAAAAGCTCAATGCAAAAATGAATGTCAGGAAGAAGGCTTTCGGAAATAGAATTGTGAAGGACTGGAACAATCTCCTACAGACTGTAATAGATGCTGACAATGTCAACCAGTTCAAAGCCAAAATTGACAAACACTTCCACAACCTAAAGTACCACAACAACTAAATGACAGCCCCTTTATTCATGTCCAGTGAGTGTTTAGAAAACAACCCCCTCCCACTTTCCCGACTTACTAAGACCTTACATAATAAAGGAACTTTCCTTCTTCCAGAAGAAGTGGTATACATTGCAATGTGCGGTCTACCAAAACGAATCCTCAGCTAGCTTGTGCCAGCTGTGTCCAGTAATCACAGTGGCTTGGGGTTAGACTATATCCTATTTAGTCTGAATTATATTCAGACTATAAGGCACCTATGTTAAGGTTCAGCTGGAAAGTAACATTTTGGTAAAAAATTGCTATACCTGCACATGTTATTTTCTGGTACATAATTTAGTATGAAGGCATGTGTGTATTTCCTTGCTTTTTTCAGGAAAGTGGCATTACACTGTCTACTTTTAGTAAACCTGGAAACAGGTCAATGGTAGCTCCTGTGTTGTCTGGAAACGTTGAAAGAAAATTTGGAAAAACAGGAAGTGTGAAATATCAGAATTCCCTGGAGTTCCCTTTGAACGCCTACCAGATATTCTGAAAGAAGACAATGTAATGATACTTTCCTGAAAAAAGCAAGGAAATTGATACATGCCTTCATACTTTATTTTGTACCAGAAAATAACATGTGCAGGTATAGCAATTTTTTACCAAAATGTTACTTTCCAGTAAAGTTTGGTAATATGAAATATTTGTTTACATAGGAAGTGCTATTCAAAATGGCTGATTGGTAAAATTAATTTGCACATTTGTTACTTCAACTAGCTTTATTTCCACTTGACAATATGCTGTTTTACTTTTTATTGCATTTAATTGTACCTTACTATTTGATTTAGATTTTGTAATGTTTATTTTATTGAAGAAATGGTTCCTCTAATTGATAATTTTGTGCAAAAAATTTCACTGCAATTTCCACAGGAAAGTAGTACATCATAACAGACTGACTTCAAGTCAGTCTGTTGGATACATACTAGGCTTGGGGTAAAGATCTCGACATGGATTGCAAGACTCAAGTTTACTGTGAAGGTGTAGACACTACAAACATATCAAACACCAAAGCAATGGATGATTAGGTTTTCTAGGGTATATCATTAAATAACACGTTGCATTGTTTGATAGGCTCCAGATGCATTGAAAAAAACATATTGAAAATCGACTTCAGATAAACTAAAACTGTGAACAAACTGAGATCAAGAAAAAGGATTGGCTGGTCTCAAAATAACCCTAGATATCGTATAAAATATATCATTTACCTGTCTTGGGTTCATACGCCGCACATCATCCAAAAAATCGAGAGATTCGAAGACCCCCATTCTGATATATTCGGTTTTTAACTTCCGGTCAATGACGCCATCTATAGTGCACTGAACGAAATCACTCATTTTCCCGTGGATTACACAAATTGAGGTGACACTAGGAACGCGAAATTTCATACTAAAGAGAATTGGGTTATAGTCTAAAGTATCAGTTAGAATTCTTTTAAATCAAAATTCAAATAGGCATCGTAAAATCACCAATCATAAAATATTTGAACACTTTCATTTTCAATTTAAATATGGAATGTACTAAAAACCCTTCGACCCTTCGACCCTACGACCTACGACTTACAGGGTGTCAAGAATTTTTGGAATATATTTTTATAAAAACCCTGTGACCTTCAATTTCTCAGTCCATACATGTATGAAGTTGCTGGAAATATTACAATGTAGACCCTAAGATTCCCACACGCCAGGACGCCTGCGGCGCCTTGTTTTAGCGGCTGGCGTGTTTCTTCCAAAATACAAGTCTCCCTGGCGTATTAAAAACGACCTATAAGCTTACCCTGATTGACTGTCAGCTGTTGACTGTATTCATCAATATTGGTCGCGGCAATATCATGAATAAAAAGTTTGAAACTAATTTTGTTTTGATTTTTTTCCGTGGATGCTGATCCAAACATATGTCATGTATCTGTATGTAAGTAAGCCGCAATCCAATTGATTTAAATTTTAAAATAAGCAATACTTCCGCTCGCAATAACAAATTAAAAAACATAGCACAAGCATTGTATTTGTATAAAGTGACAGCTTGATTTGATTGGCTGTTGGCACAAGCTAAACTCTCATGAGTCACACTTCATGCACTGGTCTATTTTGAAATGCTTTCTGATTGGTCAAACGTCATATGTGGGTGGGTCTGTTTCAAAGTTGATTGACAGATGAAACTGCAATAAATTTTACCGGTAAAACTTTAAAAAAAAACATTATTTGTCTTTGTTTTGATCCAATATATCGGTAAAACTTTGAAATCGTTAGAGACGGGGAATTAAGGTATGTCTTTTTGAAGATACTAGATCATGTTCTATTCCTCTGTTTAGCCAAAATCGGCGACAGCTTGCTTCAGTTTTGAGTTGAAGGAAAACGAAAGTCTTCCTGCCCGATCAACATATCCAGAAGTGAGCACTTCCTGGTCAAATTGAATTGTAATTAGACAAGGTAGCGATAATTTATTGCTATATTTTTGAGTTACAAACATAATCTTATTGTATAACCAGTATCCGAGAGAAATATGGTGTCGATAACCTACATTTTAGACTTGAAATCAGGTTCAAAAAGTGAAAGCAATTGGTCCCAGGTAAGACTGCCCGATCAACATTATTATCAATTATAAGGCTGAAGAAGGGTGATGTTCAAAATTACCAACTATGTTTCCATTGAAAGAGTACGTACAAAACAGTTTCCGATTAGGTAGATTAAATCCTATGGGGAGCTCAAGTTGGAACTATACATAATCATTTAGAAAACTGGACTGGGAAATCAGAGGTCGAAGGGTTTTTCAGAAAAATATGTTCCAAAAATTCTTGACACCCAGTAAGTCGTAGGGTCGAAGGGTCATAGGTCGAAGGGTTTTTAGTACATTCCTTTAAATATGGGTCATGACACGCCAGATAGTTGTGAAACGTTACCAGTTACAAACACTAATTGTCCAAATGTCTGATCATTCACCAAGGAAAACAAAATAATTTGAGACTCTTTAATAGTAATAATTTCACGGAAATCAAGATTTCTGTTATTAAAATTGAATGGTTGGATATTTGAGCAAAGCAAATGTGCACTTTTGAGCCACAGTAAAATTCAAGATGTCTTCCGCCTCAAAAGGGCAAGGGGGAACTTCAACCGAAAATGCATCAAAACCCCAAAATGTACAGGTATCTACGGGTGAAATGAGTCGGCCAAATAACCTTCAACGTATACAGCAGAAGAAGAACCAGGTCAAAAGTTATCCAAGAAACAAGAAGTTGGAGAAATTGGCAGTTTATTCTTCATGCAAGGTGACAAAAAATTGAAACTGAAAGTTCAAGTTGAATATTTGTAAACAAACACACATGGCTTTGTTTTGTATTCTGGTTATATAACATGTCTTTATAATAGAACTACTTGGAATGATGGTATTGTCTTATAAAACAAGAAAATCAGCCAGCCAAGGGTTTTGATATGTGAACCGTTTTCATGATAGCTGAACTCATAGGAAATCGCCTTCTTCTAAAGCCACTCTATATCGTGGCTAGTTCAACAAGTTAAACCTAGTCTGGGCCTTATTTCTTATCGTCCAAAGATAAATCCCTGCATGTTTTTTACTTTGCCAGATGTGAGTCATGTCGCTATATACGGGTCATGCAGTGTGGGAAATAAGCATTTTTTGCGCCTGGACAAATTTGTCCAGTCACTTTGAAACACTCCAGACAAATCATTTTTTGAGTGGTCAAAATTTTGATCAGACAGTTTGAAAACACACTGAACAATTTTTTGTACTTGGTCAATGTAAAAAAAAAAAATATATATATATACATATAAAATGATTGAAATTGTTACCATTGAATTTTATATTATTTTGCATTGTTTCATTTGTCGACAACTTCTTCCTCAGAAGAAGGGCAATTTATATTCTTTCATTTGATGTGTAAAACAAAATTCATCGTCTCATGTCTCAGCCAAATCTATCTGGACAATTTTGACCACACAGTTTGAAACAGTCTGGACAAATTTCTTTTCAGACTCGACACTTGTCTGTTGTCCGGTGCTTATTTCCCACACTGGTCATGTCGTAATCATAAAATTTGAAATCAAATATTCGCCATTTTTCAATATCACAATTTGAATTGCGAGTTTTGGTCTTATTACCAAAATACCTCACCAAAAATTCTTTCTTTCTTCATGTCTTTATAATAGACAATGTTAACGACATTTTGACCAGTTTTCGAATATTGCCATTATTGAACCCTGACTAGAAATTTTACAAAAGTTCATGGTGTTCCAGACGGAATTACTTCTAGCCAAGAAATGGCTAGAGACTCAAGTAAACCCCACCCCCTCCTTATTCTATGAAGCTGACTTTCTGTTAGCTCTGGAACCGTCAATTGCAACTCCTTGGAAAGAAAAATTACAAATTATGACTAAATTATGTGCCAAAGTAGCATTCATAATACTTACTGGAGTTTATCCAATTCCAGGACTATAGTCCTGCGCTCCAATGATTGTTCAATGTTCAGGCAGTGTTTCTACATTTAAATGACCTACCTCAATACATTCCTGAGTATATTTGGATTCTTATTATATTCTTATTATATTTTGTAGACCAATATTATAGTTGATATTAATACTTTTTTTAAGCATGAAGCTTGCAAGTGCAATGGCTGGAAGAACCCGAACCCACCCCCTACACCACCTAGGATGGACCTGTCTCAACCACTGGCCACTCTCACTGACCCCTGCAGGAGCTGCAGTCACACCTTAGGTACAGTAGAATATATAGAGGATATCCTATGATTTATGAGTGATATGATTTTTATCCACGAATGGATATGATATCTGCACGAGCGAGCGTAGCGAGAGAGTGCAGATATCAATATCCATGAGTGGATTAAAATCATATCACGAGTAAATCATAGGATGTTCTTTTTATTCCATAGTTAAAGTCATCGTCAGAATCGTCGGAAATTAAGTGATTTAATTCGAATTTTCCAAACGATCCGGCGATGTTGACACTTAGCCTCGTTTTGAGTCTGAAGTAGCAAAAATCCATAAACCATCGCATACGACGTCGTATGTCATGGCTAAAAAACCGTATGCTATGGTTAAGTGAAAATTTGTCAAAAATATCATATTTCACCACTGATTACAAAAATACCGTTTTTATTTTCACATGTTATCCTATGAATATCATGCTAACTATGGAATAAATATTATTATACTATATGTATTATATTACTGTATTTTCAATGCTTAAACATTTAATGTTTGATAAACATTTGAACTTGTATTAGGAAAGACAAGACAGACAACAAATGTTTACTTCATATTTGAAGTTTTTGTTGTTGTTATGTCACCACCACCACCAAAAGTGGTGACATATTGTTATGGTCTCCGTTTTTTTGCGACGGCGATTGGCGTCTGGCGTTTGGCGTCCGGCGTCTGGCGTCTGTAACAATTTCTTACAACTTCCTATAACTTAACAAATACTGTTTAGACTGACTTCAATTTTTTTCTAAATCATCTACATGTTCTCAGAAGTTCAAATCTGACTTTAGATTTTACATTTGACCTTCAATGACCTTCTCAAGGTCAAAAAGGTCTTTTTTCAACTTGCTTCACATTGACTAAATTTTTTTTCAAAATCATCTACATGTTCTCAGAAATTCAAATCTGACTTTAGATTTGACTTTAGATTTGACATTTGACCTTCAAATCTGACTTTAGATTTGACATTTGACCTTCTCAAGGTCAAAAAAGGTCAAAAAGGTCTGTTTTCAACTTGCTTCAAATTGACTAAATTTTTTTTTCAAAATCATCTACGTGTTCTCAGAAATTCAAATCTGACTTAAGATTTGACTTAAGATTTGACATTTGACCTTCAATGACCTTCTCAAGGTCAAAAAAGGTCAAAAAGGTCTGTTTTCAACTTGCTTCAAATTGACTAAAAAAAATTTCCAAAATCATCTACGTGTTCTCAGAAATTCAAATCTGACTTTAGATTTGACTTAAGATTTGACATTTGACCTTCAATGACCTTCTCAAAGTCAAAAAAGGTCAAAAAGGTCTTTTTTCAACTTGCTTCAAATTGACTAATTTTTTTTTCAAAATCATCTACATGTTCTCAGAAATTCAAATCTGACTTTAGATTTGACATTTGACCTTCAATGACCTTCTCAATGTCAAAAAAGGTCAAAAAGGTATTTTTTCATCTTGCTTCAAATTGACTAAATTTTTTTTTCAAAATCATCTACATGTTCTCAGAAATTCAAATATGACTTTAGATTTGACTTAAGATTTGACATTTGACCTTCAATGACCTTCTCAAGGTCAAAAAAGGTCAAAAAGGTCTTTTTTCAACTTGCTTCAAATTGACTAATTTTTTTTTTCAAAATCATCTACATGTTCTCAGAAATTCGAATCTGACTTTAGATTTGACATTTGACCTTTAATGATCTTCTCAAGGTCAAAAAAGGTCAAAAAGGTCTGTTTTCAGAAATTCAAATCTGACTTTAGATTTGACATTTGACCTTCAAAATCATCTACGTGTTCTCAGAAATTCAAATCTGACTTTAGATTTGACTTAAGATTTGACATTTGACCTTCAATGACCTTCTCAAAGTCAAAAAAGGTCAAAAAGGTCTTTTTTCAACTTGCTTCAAATTGACTAATTTTTTTTTTCAAAATCATCTACATGTTCTCAGAAATTCAAATCTGACTTTAGATTTGACATTTGACCTTCAATGACCTTCTCAATGTCAAAAAAGGTCAAAAAGGTATTTTTTCATCTTGCTTCAAATTGACTAAATTTTTTTTTTCAAAATCATCTACATGTTCTCAGAAATTCAAATATGACTTTAGATTTGACATTTGACATTCAATGACCTTCTCAAGGTCAAAAAAGGTCAAAAAGGTCTTTTTTCAACTTGCTTCAAATTGACTAATTTTTTTTTCAAAATCATCTACATGTTCTCAGAAATTCAAATCTGACTTAAGATTTGACTTAAGATTTGACATTTGACCTTCAATGACCTTCTCAAGGTCAAAAAACGTCAAAAAGGTCTGTTTTCAACTTGCTTCAAATTGACTAAAAAAAATTTCCAAAATCATCTACGTTTTCTCAGAAATTCAAATCTGACTTTAGATTTGACATTTGACCTTCAATGACCTTCTCAAAGTCAAAAAAAGTCAAAAAGGTCTTTTTTCAACTTGCTTCAAATTGACTAATTTTTTTTTTCAAAATCATCTACATGTTCTCAGAAATTCAAATCTGACTTTAGATTTGACATTTGACCTTCAATGACCTTCTCAATGTCAAAAAAGGTCAAAAAGGTATTTTTTCATCTTGCTTTAAATTGACTAAATTTTTTTTTCAAAATCATCTACATGTTCTCAGAAATTCAAATCTGACTTTAGATTTGACTTTAGATTTGACATTTGACCTTCAGAATCATCTACGTGTTCTCAGAAATTCAAATCTGACTTTAGATTTGACTTAAGATTTGACATTTGACCTTCAATGACCTTCTCAAAGTCAAAAAAGGTCAAAAAGGTCTTTTTTCAACTTGCTTCAAATTGACTAATTTTTTTTTTCAAAATCATCTACATGTTCTCAGAAATTCAAATCTGACTTTAGATTTGACATTTGACCTTTAATGACCTTCTCAATGTCAAAAAAGGTCAAAAAGGTCTTTTTTCATCTTGCTTCAAATTGACTAAATTTTTTTTTCAAAATCATCTACATGTTCTCAGAAATTCAAATATGACTTTAGATTTGACATTTGACCTTCAATGACCTTCTCAAGGTCAAAAAGGTCTTTTTTCAACTTGCTTCAAATTGACTAATTTTTTTTTTCAAAATCATCTACATGTTCTCAGAAATTCAAATCTGATTTTAGATTTGACATTTGACCTTTAATGACCTTCTCAAGGTCAAAAAAGGTCAAAAAGGTCTGTTTTCAACTTGCTTCAAATTGACCAAATTTTTTTTCAAAATCATCTACATCTTTTCAGAAGTTCAAATTTGACTTTACAAGTTCTCAGAAGTTCAAATCTGACTTTAGATTTGACCTTTGACCTTCAATGACCTTCTCAAGGTCAAAAAGGTCTTTTTTCAACTTGCTTCAAATTGACTAATTTTTTTTTCAAAATCATCTACATGTTCTCAGAAGTTCTTCTTAAGGTCAAAAGGTATTTTCCAACTTGCTTTAAATTGACCAAACTGTTTTAGGTGGTGACATTTTGTCATGTTAATGCCTTGTTCTACTTTCCATTTGATTTATGTTATTGTCTTTCAATATTACAATAATGGCCTATAACATCGCCTCATCTGATTGTGTATTTTACAACAATCGTGAAAAGCGCGAAACTAAATCACAAGCGAAAAATACTGGGAATACTGTATGTTCATGTTTATTCCAGCTGTTCATGTCTCACCTTAGCCAGACAATATAAACATAATTATGTTGTTCCAGGTGCCCATGTATCCCACTTGGAGAGTACCCCTGAAGATGAGCTAAACAGGCTCCTTGGTATAGTGGTAGATGTGGAGAATCTCTTCATGTGTGTACATAAGGAAGAAGATGCTGACACAAAACAAGTTTATTTCTATTTATTCAAAGTAAGATGCAAATTGATTTGATTTTCAAATACAATAATAGTTATGTTCATATAGATGCGTATCGTTTCAGAAAAAATCCCAGAAAACCTAACATATTCTACCATACCGTGCGCCTATCCATTTAGCAATTCAATAGTAAACTTTTTCTTGAAAAAATAAATCTTCCAGATTTGTTGAATTTCCTAGCAGAAATTGCCTGCTCCCCCCTCCGTACCATATTCACGATCACCGGGCGTGGCAATACATTGTAATAATGTATTTTATTTAATACTTTGGTTGTTGTTATCATTTTAAAATTATGATTATGTAAAAGGTGAAGTTTCAGCACCTAAGGAGGAAATTTTCAACATAGTACGATCTTATACAAATGCATGTATAACATGCTTCCCTTAACTCTGCCATTCCAGCTTTTACGTAAATGTATACTCAACATGAGTAAGCCATCAGTTGAAGGACCACTAGGCAATCCACCATTTGAAAAACCAAGCATAGCTAAGGTAACTAGCTACTAATGTTCTATGGACATATTTGACTTAACAGATTACTTTTTTTGAGTTTAAAAATTGTTTAACCTGTGATCAGAATTTCATCTTTATCTTTTTAACTTGCAAAAAATGTTAATGATGCAAAAGCAGACAGTGTCAAGGCCTGATACGGTTTTAGGCATGCTCGGTAATTAACAATGTAGCCATTTTGCTGAAGACCACATCCAGTATTTTTCACTGCTTATTCCTACATGAATATGTATTTATCATTCAACTTTGATTGTGTTTTAGGGTGTGACAAACTTTGTTGCTTACAAGTTTGGTCACCTGGGCCAGAAGGAGAAGCAGACAATGTATGATCTTGCCAAGATGTTCCTACATTGTCTCAACCACTGGAAACTTGAGACTCCTACAGCAAGGAAACAACACTCACAGAGTGATGATGTCTCAGTGTATAAGGTTAATTACACAAGGTATTTTTTTGAATCTATATATGTTACAGTTTGCTCGTATTATAACATTACTAGCAAATGTTGAAATATTGTTATAGCATAGCCTCCATTTTTGTACTGGCATTCATTGGTCAGCATCATTGATTGGTAACGTTTTGTACTGCTTTAATGAATGTCTTGTAATTTACATATTTGCTTTGTTGATTCATACTTCTTTAAAGTGTGATTTGTTATTCCTAGAGCAAGTTTTATGCTCTGAACCCTTCTTCATACACGTTCTACAGAGAATGTTTATAGCAGTGTCATTGTTTTTTCGAAAACACATTTTGTTGACATCAATTTTCATAGATGAATCTCTTTACAATGGTCCAACATAAAAATGTCATTAAACGTAAATTATCTATGTATTCATTATTGTTTTATTTATTCAGATGGCTGTGCTATTGTCATGTACCAGCTTTCTGTGACAGTCTACCGAGATGGGAGACAACTTCCATATTTGGCCGTACGCTTTTAACGTCAGTATTCCAGACTATGATGAGACAATTACTTGATAAGTTTCGTGCTGAAAAGGAAAAAATGCCCCCTGAAAGAAGAACTCTAGTTCTTACACATTTCCCAAGGTAATAAACATAATGTATGATATGAACAAGAATGCCATTCAGTGAATATGTTTAGACAGTATGTTTCATTTATAATATAGTTTAGGCTTCCATTTTACCAACATATTTTATCTCTCTCCGTCCAAAGTTTGAGGTTGTGAAAAATGTTAATTTTATAAAAAACTTTTTGTCCATTTTTATAAAAAAAAAAAAAAAAATCTCTTGTGCCATTGTGTGAATCTTTCATGTTGCTTTATCCAATTGAGGAAACATGTGTTTATGAAGCCAATCAGTTATTTATATCTGTATATATTTTAAGATTCCTGTCTATGTTAGAGGAGGAGATGTATGGCCAAGTGTCTCCTATTTGGGACATGGACTTCACTCCAGGCTCCACCCCTACAGAGTCCCCACAGAGCACACGTAAGTTTCGAATTACCAATTGGATACATCAGCTTTTTGCTTCAATCAGACCACATAAAGGAAAAAAAGGAATGAAAAAACAAACTATGAAACATTCCCAAACAAATATCAACTGACTGTACTTAAAACAAATAAATGAAAGAAAAACTTTATTTGTAAATATTTATTTCTCTTGTATGTTACAGCAACAGCAAGTAGTGCACCTGGTGTAAGTGGATTGAACCAGTTCCAAACTAACATTACACCAACCACCAATGGTACACCTGAGCCAGGTTTCACCAGTATCAACATAACCCCTGGTCTTATCTCATCAAAACGTACTTCAAGGTCAGAGAGTGGAGGTAGGGACAATCCCACAATTTCACTGTTTCATTTCCATTTTAACACTCCACAAATTGACCGTATATGGCTGTCATTTTTAAAAAAATGAAAACCATTGATTACAACAAACGAAGAAAATATTGGTAGAATATTGAGCTATTTTCTGAAGATTGTATATTTAAATTGTCATAGTTTTCAATAAAATAAATGAATCTATTTGTATTCTATTGAATGATAGATATACTGAAGGTCTACTTTATATATGTTTATACTCTATTTTTCCAATTTAGCGGAGAAGAGAAAGCTTGAGGAAACCTTTGCACTGGACGATGTAAAACGTAAGAGAGTAGATGGGGATGTTTCCACGGATACAATCATGGAGATTATATCAACAATTACAGATCCAGATGAAATGGTTGGACCAGAGGTATGTCTAGATCAGTAAAATAGTCACACACAATCTTGAGAGATGAGTAATCTTGAATTCAATTATTGAATGTTCAAAATGATATCACATTTGAAACCTACATACAAAATAACATTTAGAAATGTTGTAATTTCCTTGAATACTGCATACAAAATAACATTTAGAAATGTTGTAATTTCCTTGAATACTGCATACAAAATAACATTTAGAAATGTTGTAATTTCCTTGAATACTACATACAAAATAACATTTAGAAATGTTGTCATTTCCTTGAATACTGCATACAAAATAACATTTAGAAATGTTGTCATTTCCTTGAATACTACATACAAAATAACATTTAGAAATGTTGTAATTTCCTTGAATACTACATACAAAATAACATTTAGAAATGTTGTCATTTCCTTGAATACTACATACAAAATAACATTTAGAAATGTTGTCATTTCCTTGAATACTGCATACAAAATAACATTTAGAAATGTTGTAATTTCCTTGAATACTGCATACAAAATAACATTTAGAAATGTTGTCATTTCCTTGAATACTGCATACAAAATAACATTTAGAAATGTTGTCATTTCCTTGAATACTGCATACAAAATAACATTTAGAAATGTTGTAATTTCCTTGAATACTACATACAAAATAACATTTAGAAATGTTGTCATTTCCTTGAATACTGCATACAAAATAACATTTAGAAATGTTGTAATTTCCTTGAATACTACATACAAAATAACATTTAGAAATGTTGTCATTTCCTTGAATACTGCATACAAAATAACATTTAGAAATGTTGTCATTTCCTTGAATACTACATACAAAATAACATTTAGAAATGTTGTCATTTCCTTGAATACTGCATACAAAATAACATTTAGAAATGTTATAATTTCCTTGAATACTGCATACAAAATAACATTTAGAAATGTTGTAATTTCCTTGAATACTATGACATTTGTCAATGATGCAAAAAGTTACACATATACCATTAAATGCAATATAGCTATTATATCACACATTGTAATCATTTAATTTTAGCCAAGTTTACTGCCAGCATATGCTGCAAGGGATGAAGCTGCAAGACTTGAAGAACAGCGTGGCATCATTGAATTCCATGTTATCTCAAATTCCCTGTCTAGGAGACCGCCTAAACAGACCCTCCTGTGGCTAATTGGCCTACAGAATGTCTTCTCACATCAGCTACCTAGAATGCCCAAAGAATACATCACAAGACTTGTGTTTGATCCGTAAGTCTCATTTCTTCAAATGTGTATTTAGGTGTAGTCATAAATCAAGAAGTTATGCTAATATCCTGAGAGAGGCAAATTTATATTAAGCTAAAGGGGATATTATATTTCTATGAGACATGTAAAATATTTTTCCTTAAGACTTTGTTGAAATCGTTGCCTCATTTTCTTCCTAGCTACCAATGTCATTTGTATGTAAAACAGTCAATATGCTACTTTTCCATAGCATGCATCAATTCATGATTGACTATATTGTGCAAAGTTTTATTTTCTGTATATAGGAAGCACAAGTGTTTGTGTATTGTAAAGGACAACAGGGTTATAGGAGGTATCTGCTTTAGGATGTTTCCTACACAGGGTTTCACAGAGATTGTGTTCTGCGCAGTAACCTCTAATGAACAAGTCAAGGTGAGTTTTCTTATTTGCAATGATGATTTACCCCCTTATTCAATCCTTTGCTTAGTTAATAGGTATTAGTGAAAAATACACATCAGGTAAAAGATGAAGCCTGTGAAATCCACAAAGTTTACACAATTATGATACATCATGACAATAGGAACATTTTGTAAATCTGAATCAGAAAGCAATCTTATTAAAATATGTCAGAAGATTTTTTAGCTCATAGCCTTCCTTGTCATGTCTTGTCATCCTCTGCTACGGAAGATTCTAGCTTGAATACAAGAATAATTTCTTAACTTCTGTATCTTAAATTTGTGCCTAGGTTAGAATGCCTTGTTACCTTTAACACATGATTTGATGACTAATTATAGCTCTCTGTTTGTAGGGCTATGGTACACATCTAATGAACCACCTAAAGGACTATCATATACAACACAATGTGCTACATTTCTTGACATTTGCTGATGAGTTTGCAATTGGATATTTCAAGAAACAAGTAAGGGCGTTATTTTATTGTGTAACTAAATGTTTTGATTTTTATGTCAACTTATTGTTATGGTCTCCCAACTTTTTGTGATAGTCTTTAGAGTTTGGTGTTCGGAATCTGTAACAAATAGTAGGTGGTGACATTTTGCATGTCAGTGCCTTGTTATGTTGATGGATCCTTATTGAGTTTCTTTTCAAAAAAGTAAAATTATACCAATATTGCATTTTCAAAATAAAACGTGATGCATTGTTAAAATCTGGAGAAATCACATGGCCTTATTGAAAACTTTTCTAGGGCTTTTCAAAAGACATTACATTGCCTAAGGCAAACTATCTGGGATACACCAAAGACTACGAAGGGGCCACCTTGATGGGATGTGAACTGAACCCCCGCATACAACACACTGAATTCTCAAAAATAATACGCAAACAGAAAGAGGTAATTATTATGTTATGTTTGAATCAGAACACATTAGGATTGTAGACCTTCAGGTAAACACTAAATAATGGATCAGTTTCTATGTTATATTTCCTATTTATGATACTGAAAATATAAAATGGCCAAATTGGGTTGATGCATTCTCATATTAAACTTTTAGTAGCTTTATGTGGGAGTATATATTTGGAATTAAATATGTGATATACTGTTCTTTTTCTAAATAAACTGTACATTATTGTTTTCAGATCCTCAAGGCTCTTATAGAGAAAAAGCAAGAGGATGTTCGTAAAATACATCCAGGCTTGACATGTTTCAAAGATGGTGTGAGACAGATCCCCATAGAAAGCATCCCAGGGGTTTTAGAGGCAGGATGGGATCCTCAGATGGAAATAGGGTAAGTTGATACTTGTTAGAATATTGACATAGGTTGATGGATGATGTTGTTCATTAGTAAAGGCATAGTTATGCCTTTCTTTATGTGGTATATTTCATAATAAGAGAGCTAGGAACTATTAACAGTTTTCTTAAGATTTTAATATATCTTGGGTATCTAACCTTTCCTCGAAGTATTATCTTTTCATTTCTGCACTTAGTTTACATTGGCTGTTCTGCTAGTTATTGAATCCATGTAAATAATCAGCTACAATGTCCACCTGTAATATAATGGGTCCACCTGTAATATAATGTATAATTCTATTTTCATTGCACTTCTAGTCTGAATGAACAACCTATGGATCCAGAGCAGTTGTATACAGTCCTAAAAAAGCTAGTCCATGAACTAAAGGTATCAGATATTCTTAAATTACACTTAGGTAAATATGATGTATTTTACATGCAATTTAATTCTCTCCCTGGGGGATGAAGCTTCAATGTCAGCTTTTCCAAAGCTTCCCTTCCCTTCAAAGTTTCCTCCATCCTTCTAAACTTTGAGTCATTAGAAAAATAGCTGATTTTTCTAATTCTCATTGAATAACGTTTAATTTTATGAAACTGTTTCATTTTAGAACAATGGGTCAGCGTGGCCATTTATCAAACCAGTGGATAAGTCTGAAGCCCCTGGTTACTATGATCTCATCAAATACCCCATGGGTAAGTAACTCTTGTGTGATCTAGTCCAAATCCTCAATGGGTAAGTACCTCATCTGTGATCTAGTCAAATACCCCATGGATAAGTCCCTCTTTTGTGTTCTGGTCAATATCCCATGAGTAAGTAAATCTTCTACGATCTAGTCAAACTTCCTGGTAACTACCTCTTTCCTGATCTTATCAAAGAACCTTTTCTGTGATCTTATCAAATACGTCATGGGTAAGTTCCTCCTCTGTCACCTCATTAAATACCCCAAATGACCTTATTTCAAAGAGGCAAATATTTTTTTCATCATAGCTGAAGCAATTGCTTTAATTTTTTTCCAAATAAACAGAGAACATTAAAAATTGCATATTTTCAATATTTTGCCACTTTTAGGATCTAAAAGTTGTAAAAAATTAGTGCTGGCTACTGATACACTTCATCAGCAGTCTCACTACTCCTGCATTCCAAAATCTATATTTTTGTGCAATGACAAAATAATTTACGATTCTTCAAGTCATGTACCTGTTACTGTTCATTTAATCAAGTACCCTGTTTCCTTTGATTTTTTACATCGCAAAATAATTAATTTGCCTCATTTATAAATTTGACCAATTTTACTTTTATTGCAGATCTGAAGACAATACAAGAAAGAGTAAAAAGCCGATATTATGTACATATTCGTCTATTCGTAGCTGACATTACACGGATATTCACAAATTGTCGAGCATACAATGAACTTGATACAGAATATTACAAATGTGCAAACAATCTAGAACGATTCTTCAATCAAAAAGTGAAAGAAATGGGCCTTATAGAAAGATGAGAAGATATCATGCATATGAGTTGATATTTATTCACTCTGAAATAAAACGCAACCTCGCAGTAGGAGGGTAACTGACAGCGTTCGTATTGGAGAAAAGTGGAATGCCTGTGTTCATTTGAGCCTTGATGTAGGATACCATGTGATTATATTTGTTCATATAACATTATGACGCTCCAAAGGTATCATTGATAATAATTATGCTATGATGACTTACATATAAGTCAGCTTACAAAAAGGTTCACACAGTAAATGAAGTTATCATATGGGCATGCTGCCATAGATACAATCATGGAAATTACAGCAACTAAATCAAGATGAAATGGTTAGACCGGGTGTTGGGGGAAGTGTGGGGGTAGGCATGCACTTAAATTTCACATTACTTCACTCAAGATTATGCAACATTGAGACACTTATAATCTAACAGGGTGTTTATTTCTTGAACACACACATAAATGCAATGTAATGCGTACGAAATGGTGCAATACAATAGAAAAGACAATCAAACTTGTTATGTTTAGACTGCTCACTAAAAGGGAGTTAGAGCCAATCTTTAATGCTGAAATATACCATATTGAAAGAAGTTAAGAATGGCAAGTAACTTTTACCATGGATAGAATTATTTGAAAATATTCTCTGTAAATAGTAGACCTTGAAAACAAAAATTGCTTACATATCAGATCTAAAGAAATAATTGCCTTGGAAATTATACACAGGTGCATGGACATGGTTACGATTTGCACATGAAATGCCCCTTATGTAGGGCACATTTTGACCAAGCCTTGTTTTGTCCAGGGAAAACATTTATATGATGGTCTATTTTTGGTGCAAATTGCAGATACAAAATCTTTTGGAAGTATTGCCAATTCCTATGAATTTTGATATGAAATGACATGACTTAGCCTAAGCTCGATCTTTTTGTAATCAATCATGTTAACATTCAGTGAATGCTGAGACATGAAATACAAAAATATCACGTCTTGAAAGAGTAAGTAAATGATACTCTGACTTGGACCAATCTTGAGTTTTAATTATATGAAATGAACAAAATAACTATTGAACCTGAATATATTGGAACCAAGAACTACATATTTTCATTTGTTATTATGTTTGGTAAATGTCAATTTGCTCATGATACATGTATGTTATATCTGTGTACATTGGCGTTTTCTTCTATAAATGCAGAGGCCTCACAAATGCCGGAATTTCACAAATATCCATTATATGTACTTTTTTTAGATCGTTTTATCCGCAATTAGACCCGTGTACTCTATATTTGCCCCAGATTTTCCTTAAGTATGACACATGTAGGACCAAAATATGGCTAAACCAAGTATGGCTTTCGATCAATGAAAAATATCCTAATAAGGAGCAGAAGGGTGTACAAAAACTGCAATGTTCAAATATCTAGCTCAAATAGTGTAAGCATTGTCACTTTCATCAATGTCATTATTCAAGAGGGTTGGTAACCGCACCTTGGAAGAGAATAACTCCAGATTTGTTATGTCTGATGAAGAACAGGAAAGGATGGTCGGCGGTGAACTGAGGAGGCATGCTGAAGGATGCAAATGTAACTGCACTGGCAGCGGCGGCCTCGCTTCCCTCCTCGTTGACCTCAATAGCTGCTTTGTGCACGAATTTGGACACATACAAATCACCTGTATCTACTATTCCAGAGAGGTTAGCCTTACCCCGTGTAAATAAATCATTGATGCCTACTTTTGTGAGGATTTTGTCAAGGTTGATGGTTTCTTCGAGTTTGAACTTTGGAATAGCAACGTTGACTTCAGTTTTATGTAAATTACGTGTTGCTTTGGTAAAGAAGTCTGCCGTCAGTTGAGAGATGAGTTTTGGGAAGCCATCGGCGTAACTAGGCAGGACTAGGAACATACTAATTTCTTCTTTATTGTACGGTAGTTCTAATATAGATACTTCCAAATCACCATCCCAACCAAATCCATACTCCCCGTTACGATTCATCATGTCGACTTCAACAGATTTTTCCGGGGTAACAAAGAAATTCTCCTTTCTAGTATTTTTCTGGTCAAACATATCCTTCCAACTTCCTTTAAAATATATGGCGTTAACAAGACACATTATTGTATCCCTGTCAATAGTTCCTTCTGGGATTAAATCCTTGATTTTATCATTTGTCTCAGCTTCCACCCATTTATTGATGATCTGTCTCGATTCGTCAGATTTGGCTGCAAAATCTAAAGCCTCAACATTGCTTTTGTATGCTGTTTTCGCTAAATCCAAGAATGCCTGTTTCAACTGCTTTCCTTCTTTGGTGAATAGTTTATTTGCAACATTTACGATGACTCCATCACTTGCAATGACTTCACTTTGTAACATTCCAAGGGATTCATGTACACATTCATCGTTGGTGTTAATACCCAGACCTGCAGCTATCTGATCAGCCGTGTCGTCTGCTGCACCGCCCAATGTCAAGGCCAGAGCAGTGAATACACTCAGGGGAGAAAAAAATACGTTTGAAGTTGAATTGTTTGGAATGTTCTGGAACAGATTCACACTAAACTGGACCATGGACGTAGATATTGCAGACATCTTCGATGAACTGAAAAATAAGAAACGCAATTTGACACATGTTATTGGTAATCATATTTTCAAAGTATGCAGCCAGTTCGGACGTTGCTTAGGTTCAGCCATAAGGGGTACATAGGTACTGATCTGGCACCAATGTCTTTCCGAACTTCATTTTCACCACTGCTTGAGCGAAGAGGTACTAGATATAGTAAGTTCTAAATGGTATTTAAGCTTACGCTAATAAAGTCAAACGAATGCATTTTAGAGTGTCTCACCTCTTTTTATTTTCTTATATTATCAAAGATTCAAAAATATATGTTATACTTGAAACAAGCCCAGCAAAGGTTACTAAAGGCACTCTGGCATCCATGATGGTGTTCCATCTTCCAAAAATACACAATCATGTTACTTTTACCCTTTCTATACTCGATCTTTTTAGCCTGAAACTAACGGCATTAAAGTGCTTAGGTATGTTAGTGTCAGATTTAATCCCCAGTGATTCAACCTTACTAGAGAGCCCTAGAGGATGTTACAGTATATGTTCATGCCATCCAAATCAACCTACCTTCGCTGTTTCGCTTCCGCCACAGGTTTACTCTTAACACTACAGGACTGAAACCACGGATGAGCTATTCATACCCAGTAAATATTTGATATGATTAGAGGATGATCTAATCAGACCAAAGTCCAACTGTCCAGCACAGCCTGATCAAATATGTTATCGCATGAGTATATCACCCTATGCAGTTTGAGCATGCAAACACACTCGGTGTGGATAAGTTTAACTTGAATTCAGTCTAATAATGTTTCAATTTGAATAAAGATGGCAACAAAGAGCAATTTAACCATTCACTTCAGCTAGTTACTTTACTGGCTTTTTAATACCACTCCACATCATTTCAAAATAGCAATATGCTCTGATTTAGTTGCAGATATTGTTCGATCTAATATCATCTGATGCAAGGGGAGTATTAAAGTCATACCCTTTTCTAATATTCTCTATATAGTCTACAGAATATAAGAGGGAGAAGTGACTTACACCCCGTGATCTGATGTGGAGTGTAAAATATTTTTAAGTGTGATGGGTTTTATATGTTAATTGCCCTAATATTTATAGATTTACTGCTTCAACCGTTTTATGCTCTCTTTTGAAAAGGGCACAATGTCACCGATGTGGTCAAAATTTTCACTATAAATCAAGCAGTCTATGTTTCGTTATGCCAAAGTCTGAAATAACCAAGTCTATGCAATGGGTATGTCAATTGCGGATAACGTTCACTTTTGTTTGAAGTCCAATAACGTTTGGAGCTGTTAAATGCTCTTTCCGCTATTTTGGATCTGTACTTCTTGTTTGAAACTGAAATCCATCATGACAATTCCCCATAACGAAGAAAATATCAAAATTGTGTTTTGTAAAATATGATAAAAAGCTGCAATAACATCTATAGTATTCAGCTCATAGCATGTCGAATCATTGCCAGTTAAAGAGATTTCAGCAAATCAAATGTTTTTTTCAAAATCTAAATTTTTGATAGATTGTATTTTAAATGCATGTTAAACAGTATATCGGTCGGTTGATTAAATTTCGTTCAATGAAATGTACTGAAATTGCAAGTAGGATTTATAATATAAGCGAACCGATGTGATCTATGCCATACAAACTATCAAACCTCAAAGAGATCTATGACTATATTCT